AATTTTCAGGACTGATTGGCACAATTTTCTGTAAGATTTGAAAGTGTTCACTGGCATGATCTTGTTGCTAAAAATATTATGGTGATGGGCATATCTGAAATACATCAGAGAAAAGTACTGAAAGTAAATATGCTGAAAGACTAAAGCTTAGGAGGGTGGGTGAAAGGAAAACCCAAATGATGAACCAAAGATAGAAGCTCCATCAGCTACAAAGAAGCAGATGTGTAAGTAAATCTGCTTTAAGGAAAGAATCCTAAGAGGTATATGCATACAGGTTTACTGAATACCACTCTCCGTAGTTTAAAATTCGCCAGAGGTACTTCATCTCTGCAGTTCATCACTGTCCATTTGATATTCAGTCATCCATGTCATTTCCCATCTCTTCAGCTGGATACAGATACTGGCCACAGCTGCAAAATGTTGAGCACAGTTGGGTACTAACCAGCTGATGTTGCTATTTGCCAAAGTCTCCATCACACTTGCTACATTGCTGATAGCTCTTCTCAGAAAAAAGATAATTGGCCTCTGATGCCATTAACTAGTTGCTCCTACCCCTATTTTGCACTCTGCTTTTACAGTTATTTTGAATAGGCCAGGTAAAGTCATGCAAATGGAGAACTACAGGGAAATTCAGGATAAAACCTGTACTTGATATGAAAACATCGCTTCAGAATTCTCATGTATCTTCCACTTATATCTCATTTGACTAACAGAAGATGCATTTGCTATGTTTGACAAAAAGCCTCCACTTGCAAGGAACGTGGAGAGAAGATAATTTGTGAAATGCATAAACATAAAGATAAGCTTTCAGAATCCTCCTATTGAGTAAAACCGTACACTGAAATAAACTGAGTAATTGTAACTACCCTCTACTGGACTGTAAGTAGAACATTTTCCTACAGAGCATTCATTTTGAATTGGATTAGTGCTAAAAATTACTCAAACATTTCTTGAAATGTTACTAATTAAAGATTTGCCCTTCAATGAAAGGAAAGAATTTGGTGCTTTTGAAGTGGCAGATCTGAATTTTGTAATCCTCACATTCACCAAGTCTATCCATGAAGATGGTGTAACAACTGTACACCAGTCAAAGTGTCCAGTGGCAATTCTGTGTGGCTGTTTTTGTAAGATTTGGGATATTTCAGTGTTGTTTCAGTCATAGTATGCAAATCAAATAGCATCACTTTACAATTCCCAATTAATTCCGCACTTTTAAGCAGGATGGTAGTCTGTCAGTTGCTGTGAAATGAAGCAGGGGAACCAAGTGACATAATTTAAAAAAAAAAACAACACGCCAAAAAAAAAACCCAACAAAAAACCCACAAAACAAAACAAAAAACCCACACACACAAAAAACCAACCAACCAACCAAAAAACACACAAAAAACCTCAAACCAAACCAAACCAAACCAAACCACAAACCAATCAAAAAAAAAAACCACAAAAAAAACAAACACCAAAAACCACACAACAACAACAACAACAACAACAAAGGATCATTTCAACATTCTGGTCATAAATACTATCTTTTGTGAATGTGTTTAGAGGTTCTGCAGGATTAAAAAGCCTTTTGATTTTTAGGAAGCTGTGAAGAATAAACTGACACTAACTAGAGAAAGTGGAGTTCATCAAGAACTGTTTTTGTATTTATGTATCAGTAGTGGACTTGTCCCCATGTTGCACATTGAGAAAACTTCCCCAGACTCACATGTAGTAGTTTTTTTCAGCTCTCAAGACCAGTTAAACTTTTATAAAGGTACTTTAGACTCCCATGGAAAATATCAGGAATGCAGAGTTCACATTTCTAAATGTAACGTGTGAATAGATATGACAATAATTGGTACTGTGTGCACAAAAAAAAAATTTTGAGAGTGGTACATCAAGTCAAGGAGAAAATGATATCTACCATTTACCCACAGTCTCAACAAGTGCATGAGAGACAAATGCATCACCCTAATGAAAAACTGCATGGAAGTGTATATTCATCAGGTGTGATGCACTTCCACAGTCTCACTACAACTGTACCCAAAAATTCATGGATTAGTCTGTTTAGATTCATAAAATATGGCACAGAGGAGTATTACTGACTCAGACAAATGGGAAATTAAGACCTGGATTTTAAAGGGATGGTGGACATCTAACTGCCTCTGAAATCAATGGGAATCATGTACCTAGAGACCACAGAGAGGCTGGACAGAGATACCTGAAGTTATGCTTACAAAGCCAAATGAATAAGAACAACAAAAAAAAAAAACCTATGAGCTTAATCCATCTCAAGGGGAAACAGCAAAAAGGTAAGCCCTTCATGGTCATTAGATATGTATCAGATTTACTGGTAAATGTTAAAGTCCATGAAAACACACATACCCTTCCTAGTTATCCTTGGCAGAACAATGGTCTATCTCAGGTGATGACATACAGCTCGGTTGAGCAAGTTGCCCAAAATCCTCACAGGTTCCCTGTGACAGACATGGCCTGCAGCAACTTGACTTACATGGCTTCTCCCTTTCAAGCCCAGGTTGGATGAGCAGAGCATTAGGACCACAGAGTGTCCCTGGCCTCTGTTCTTGTACCTGGTATGTGAACACAGTGGATTCAGGGCTGTATCACCATGTCTCTGCCGAATGCAGTAACTATACATGCTGACTTTAGGATGCTCTAACAAGAGGGGAAGAGAAGGAGAGGGCTATAGCACACCTCATTCTGCTGGTACATCTGTACCTACAGTGTGCATGGTGGGTTTTGCGCCCTTCTGTTGTATTTCAGTCACTTTCACCAACTTTTGATATTGAGAATGAGTTAGGTTTTCCCTCCTTTGGTACTGAAACAAAGTTTTACAGAGTAGAAACATTAATTTCTGTAATTCTTTTCCACCTGGTCTATTCCAACTGCAAGCCTCCCAGGGAAAGAAATTATTTGTCACTGCGTCTCTGGACAGGCTCCCTGTGTCTCAGATTTGGAGACCTGCTGCCATATGTGATACAACATCCTCAAAGAAAGGAACCTAAATAACTAAGTACTTCCTTAAGGACCCTTATTCCATTGCAGTGTTTGTGCAAACTATTTCCATCTTGTCCCTGCATACTTCAGTTTCTCTTCCAAATTATAAAAAATAATTCAGGACTGTAACTCCTTTGGGTGCGCACCTGCAAACACACAAACTCGTATACGTGCCTTTGAATATCTTGCTCCTTGCTCATGAACACAGATTTCTGTTCCTACCAGAAAATAATGTTATGCATTATAAGTACCTCAGAATCAACTTAAGCTGTAGTCATCAAAAACATCTGCTCCCAGTACTCATCCCAGTGACTTCAGGCACAGGGAGAGGCTGTTGAATGAGCTCTGAAACACTTTGGGAAATGGATGGTGAAGGATCACAGGCAAAATGGATGACAGAACAGAATCAGTATCAGAACATGCTTCAGAGTGGAGGGCAGAGACAACTTTTGTGGCCCTCAGGCAGCTCTCTCACTGAGAATGATGCCATCTTTTTCTACAGTAACTAGGAAGGGACTAGTAAGAAAAACATTCTGACCATACTGAAAGGATCAGTGAAGATATTTCTTCACAAAAAGTTTGCAAATGGCAAATAGGTTCTCTCTTCTCCAAAGGCTACCATTTGGACCTTGCGGTATGCCAGAGAAGTTGATGGAGTTACATGGAAAATTACATTTATTCTTGTCCATAAAAAGGGTCATGAGAGCAGTGCCAGGGCTTCCCTTCTTCACAGCCACAAAGACTCCATTTTTACAGGAAGGAAAAAGGAGGCACAAAGAGAGGGAGAAATAGAGTAAGCTGCTGAGTGCCGGAGGGGAGCTGGGTCAGATGTAAATTTTAGAGTTTATGGACTGGCTTTCTTGCCAATTTATCAAGGAGGAAAGGAAAAAGCGGATGAAGGAGAAAAGGGAGGAAAGATTTTGCAGAGAAGTAAATCTCCGTATTTTTTGTTTATTATATGGTGGTGAAAATTGCAGAGGAAAATCATTTGTCAAAAAAAATATGACAGTTAAGGATGCTAAGCAAGGGGAAGCATAAGAATATGAGTGACTTAGTGTTTGAGGCCCATAGCTAAGTTAACAAGGCTTGATCCATGGATAAGACATGAGCAGAGGTACGGTGGGACTTCCTCAGGGCTAGTTATCTTTGCCCCTGGAATCTAAAGTAATAAGCTGAGAGATAACAAAGAAGTTATGGGGCATGGGGACATAGTTTAATGGTGAACATGGCAATGTCAGAGTTATCAGTTGGTCTGGATAATCTTAGAGGTCTTTTCCAAATTTAACAATTCTGTAATTCGATGATATTTGGGATTTTTGCCCAACACAAGGTTCTATCTTTTAGTTACAATCATGTAGGTCCACCTGGTGGGTAGGATCTTTTATGCCTGTAGGCAGATACAGTCCTTCAGTTGTGATGACCTGTTACAGCCTTGCAAAGAGAAAACAATCCATAGTAGATACTCCAACCCCATCACTGTGCCTTAAATTAGCAAAGTTCTGAACTGCCCAGGTTTACCACTCAGCTCTGTCCTCCAGTGCTTTCTAGATTCTTGACAGCCTCATAAACTTTATTTTATGAAGCTACTCCAGTTCATGCAGGCAAGAATCATCCCCTAAATCCTTCCTGCTTTCTTCCTGCTTCCATGAAGGACAACAGGACTTCTAAGGGAGAGGTGTGATATCATAGCAATTTATGCCAAAATAACATTACTTAGAGAACCCAAATGGGAGTCTAAACCCACAAATACAGCTCTAAAACCCATTTCCAGTACTGGGGAGAAGAAAAAAGCCCACGACAAAAAAACCCATCACCACAAAAAAACCCGCAAGAAAACCCACCAAAAAACAAAAAGGATGTAACACAGGACCCAGTGAATCAGATACATTTCTACCATAATTACTAATTCTAAATAAGTCTTGCAAATCCCACACACATATATATATATACACATTGAAAAATTCATAAACATATACTTCTTCAAGTAATGGACACAATACCTGCTCCAGGTCTGCTGCTGTTCTTTTTTTTTCTCCTGTGGCATCTTGATATGGTAAAATGAAGAGTTCAGCAGATGTGGGCAGACCAGGGAGCACTGCGACCAGAACATGCTTGCTTGAAATACCTGTCACCTGATGCATAGATAAATAATGGACAGATAAACAGATAAACATGTGGATGGCACTGAATTCTGAGACTGTCTTTGTTAAGGCATCACAGTAGTTATACAAATGATGTAAGGTATATTTGGTACAAAGGAGAGAATTTTGCTAAAATCCACTGCAGGTAAAAAGTTGGAAATTAATAATTTCCTGATCTAAAACACTTTACCATGTTCTCCAGTAAAATATGCAGTGTCCTAAAGCAATAATGATAAACAGGTAAGCTAAAAGGAGCTCTTAAGCAACAATTGCATATGGTCCTGAAACACAAAACCATCCACGTAATTTTATTTTTTTTTGTCTTGTTGGCTGAGAATCTTAAGCTAGAACTTAAATCTCCCTAATTTTGACATATTAGACAAAATTCAGAAAAAAGAACCCATAAGCATCTCTACCAGGTTGATCTCTGGGTTTTAGTTGATGCTAACATGATAATACACAAACTGATTGTGGAGCTGTTACACAGAAAATGAACCCGGTTTGTCCCTCAGGAAGATCTGTTAGCCAAAGGAAGGAGAAACAGAATTTGATGAATCTCCCTCCACTGCCTCTTTGTGCTGTGAATTATCCAGCAAATGCACTTAAATCTCAAGGTTTGATTTAAACCTGTTTTCAAGTGCTGAATTTAGTAGGTCACTTTTAAAGGGAAAAGAAAAAGTGTCCTCAGAGATGAGGACAGATCACAGCATCTGAATGCACCACAGAGGTTCCCCTGCAGTAAGGAACTCACAAGCCTCTCAGACATTAATTGGGCCTAAATCTATTTAATTCTTCTCCCTTGGCTCAGGACCAAAGACTTGGGGGTGCTCATTGAAGGAAAGGGTGGATGGAGGACAAGGAGTCAGTAAAACTGATAACAAATCACCATTTTCTGAGCTAATTCTGTGGATAACCCAAGTGTGACTGTTGACAATCCAGGGAGAACCCTGTGGAGCTATAAAAAGGGAATCCTTCCCCTCCATCACTCACCAAGCAAAAGCACATGACTTTGTTGCCCCCCCCCTTTTTTTTTTTTGTTTTTAGTTTTGAAATGTGGATTTAGGAATAAAACACAAACCTTTAAAGATATAAAAGTCTCTTATATTCTTTTTGAGTATTCTGTGAAGCCAGGGCTTGCATTATTTTCACTTGCCTAACAGGTTGCTTTAACATGTCAAGAAAAAGACAAAGTATTACCAGTTAATGGAAAGCTTTCATTTTCAGAGGCTGGGAATTACTTTTTTTCAGAAGTGGGAGACAGGTCTCAGAAAATCAATGATGTGAGCAAATAGTTATGATCATAACACAAAATAGGATATTTTGTGATAATATGAAATTATCCCTACTTAGAGAGAAGATCAGATTTTAGTACAGAGCTATAATTTCATATACAGAATTTTTATCTGAGTCTATGGTATTCTGTAATAAGAGTTCAATACTTTAATAAAAGCTCATAAAAAATCTATAACACAGATATAATTTTCTATTGAATTATTTAGTTATTCAACTCATTTTTATACAGTTTACTTAATTGCCATAGAAATCTACGAGGTTTAACTTTTACAGGAACTTCTCACAAAGGCTTGTTAAAGGTGAATCATTTAGCTATATAAAGAAGAAGAATTAGCTATCAATTGTTTTCTTTTTTACTCAAACAACAAAAAGTGTTTTCACTGCTCTGCTTTGGATATGTAGCCTTGTTACTGTGGTTTTACAATTCTTCTGTTTTTTACAGTTTGATTTTATTTTATTGAGTTGTCTATATTCTGAAAATTCATCCTGAAGATAAATTGATCCTTGAATACTTGATACAGACATAAATATGTCAGAAGAACAAGCTCACAAAATCCAGAAAAATGCTATTTCTTCCCCTTTTCTCTTCTCCTCCTGTCTTTTGAGGAAATCTCACAAAAAAAGTCTAAGAAACAATCCAACCAAGTTTGTGTGCACCTCTCTGGTGCATAGTGTTTTTCTAGACTTTTTGTGCAGTTGATACCACAAATGTACATATAAGCTTGTTAATAACATCTGCAATACTTATATACTTTCAAAATCTGAGTATCTTTATTTTTTTAAAAAAAAACAGAAACCCTGTTTCAAACAGTTCCTTTTACTATTTTTCAGCTGAGCTGAGAAACCCCAGCCATCTATTCTAACTTTACATAGCTTCTCAGTTTGAAATCCAAATCTTCAGCCACACTAGAATATTTCTATGACATTTTGTTCCCCAACTAAAGAAGCAACTTCAGAGCTTCTCTGTAGTGTTGATGGGAAAATCAGCATCCAATCCTGACCTGTGAGCCTCATGCTATATAAAAGACAAAAAACCACTTTACTGTGGGACTTTTCTATGTATGTAAAAACCATTTTCTTTTTGGTCTCTTAAGTTTTCCACAGTATATTTGTAATTCCATTAGAATAACACTACCTTACACTTGAGGCTGACTGAGCACCAGTTTGTCATAGGATGAGACAATTTCACCTATCTAAAATTTAGGATGCTGGTCTCAAACACTAGTCTGTTCTCCTTTTCTGGTTGGTAGCAACAAAAACACATCTTGAGAGAACAGTTGATCCCGCCTTAATGAAGGAACAGAGCAGAAACTAAAACCATTGTAACACAGGTTATGCACACAGCTTACCTCCACCAGAGCTCTCTTGACTACTCTGCTGACGTCCCTTCTCCATTCTGGGATATCTGGGTTATGGTCATCAAGGTTCGGAGAGAATGATAACCTCAGGGACTGAAATTTCTCTGCAGATATAAGGACATGGTTGATGAAAAGACTGTGAAATGCCTTGTTTCTAACTGAGGGCTCAGAACCCAGTGCAACCTGCTGCAGCTCATGTTTTGCTTAATAAACCTGCACGTGATGCACAGACTGTCACAGAATCCAGCAGTGTGCTTGAGAGACTCACTGAGAGATTTGGAGAATCCGACAGATTCACCACTTGAGTGTCATGGAAATGAAACAGGTGATCAGTCCTAACTTGAGTGGATGAATAGCACTGCAAAAGGAGCTGTCTTGGGAATGTAAATGTAATGTTACCTGCATCTTGACTTCTGGAGAAGGCAAGCCCTGTGAAGGAAGCTGTGATTTTACTCTCTACAGACATGTCCTGAACACTCTTAACTGGAAGGGGACAGGGATAAATGTGGGGAGAGGACTAGCCTTGAAAAATGCACTTAATCTCTGTTGCTGTTAACAGAGATGCCCCCACTGATCATCATGAACATGTGGTTAGTACAAACAGCTAAATCTGGAATTTCCAGTGTTTTTTAGGCTCCATCTACACTATGTGGTATTTGTGTGCCATAACTGCTTCTGAGGCACAGGTGCAAGGTCAAATCAGTACAGATTTCTGTGCAGAAATGCAGCACACAGTATTGATTTACCTTTCAAGCTGAGCAGCTTTTGTGTGAGTTAAGAGGCCTCTACTGGCCATAAAGGGGGAAAACCAGCTCACAAAATGAACTAACATTTTGACAATCATGTAGGATGATCAAATAGTGACAGAGCAGATGCAGAGGTTATCTGGGAAGGAGATCAATGTTCTGCAACCATGTCAGTCTGGACTAATGTCAGCCAGTGGCCGTCAGAGGTATTATGCTGAACTGACAACACTGAAACTGAATTTATAATCTAAAGGACCTCTTGTTGCTGCCAGCTAACCTGGCTCTCTAGTGTAGACTATGGAGAATCCTTTGTGAAATGAAAGGGGAAGAACTCACCATACACTGCAACAGTCTTTGTGTCCTGAAGAATGGTGTTTCCTGCTGAGACCTGAACAGTGATGGTGTTCATGCCTTCCACAGAAAATGTGAACGTGATGCTCCCTTCCAATGTGATCAGTGGCTGCAAATACATCATAAAAGGAATAATTAAGTTAATTTGGCTGGAAAGGAAAAGCAAAAATGAGTTCGATTCTCCAGCCTATTGGGATGCTTTGAGGAGTTAGTTCCAGACTGAAAACTTTAGACTTAGGTGAGGTCCTGTGAAATGTGAGCTAATATTCTAGAAAGGGCACAGGAATCCCAGACAGGGAAGTCCTCCTGAAGCTCAGAGAAAGGCACTTGTAATTTCCAAAGGAGCTAGGTTTTAAGATTCCAGTATTTCCTTTCCACTTTGCATGTGGGTTGTTCTGGATCCCATGTTAAAATGTCCATCTCTGCTCACTCCCTAGAGAGGCCCAGATCCAAATATAAGGGCCTGCAAGACTCACTGCTCAGATACCACACCTCTCTCCCAGATCTAGTTTAAGTGCCTTGTTTAAGGTGACTCAAGGAGGTTGTCACAGAACCAGCCAAATTAAGACTTCTCGGTTGTTGTCCCATGTTATTCTTTAACATAAAGATACCACTTTTGGTAAATTCTGGTGCTTGAGAGGAGACAGATTCCCTCAGCTTGCTTTGCTAGGCAACCAGTTACCAATGAGTTGTGTCCTCTTTCAGCAGATTCTGCCCTAATTTCTGTTTTCACTTATTAATGATCTCTGGGTGAGATCTTCAAAGCACTCAGTATTAAGTCAAACTGTTGCCATTGTATTCTGTAGTAAAATTTTCACTTCAATGGAAACAGAATTAGACCAACTCTGATCACTTACGAGCTTAGGAGATCAGAGAGAAGGTTAAAAGGTGACAATCACAGCCTGTAAGTACCTCTAGGGGGAGATGATTGCTGATATTACAGAGAGTTCTTTAATCTACACAAAAAGGCATAACAAGATCCAACAACTTGAATCCAAGACTAGATAAATTCAGACTACAAACACTGTGCATGTGTTCAAAGCTCAGGATAATAAGTTGTGGGAAAATTGTTGGGGGAGAGGGTCAGAGGGAGAAGCAGAAAATTCTCCATCATCTGAGGAAAATTATTAACATAACAACAGAAGTCAGGTTCTGCTTTAATCACAAAGACTTAAATAAAGCAGAAGGTATGGATGAAACTCTCCAACCTGCATTATACAGAAGATAATCATGTGTGGTTATGAAGGTCCCTCTTGGCTCTACAAAATCCATGTGAATCTCTCCCCTCAGAAACTAATTAGGGTTTCTGGGTACTTCAGCCACAAACAGACATGAAGTAACAGCTATAAGGTCTGTGCAGATTTACCAAGACTGGAAGCACAGAGGCAGCAGAACATGATGGATGATACTCTCATTTCTGAGCAGAGCCCAGACGCAGGGAGGTGTGTTGGGAACCATTTCATCTACCTGTAGTACATGATAATAAAATATTTTTGCACATGTGGTTTAGCATAGAGTGCTGGAGCTCAGGATTGGGTTCAGCATATTTAAGGGGAGGCACAGAACTGGCAGCAGTCTCTTCCCTTGTTAGTCACCAGAGAAATGAGGTTTAAACTCTAGGGCTATGTGAAGTCAGTTCCAGATATAAAAACAGCTACAGTTTGACAGGTTATTTTCCTTAAAAAAACCAAAAAAACAAACCTACATTTTTTATCTTCTTGTTACTGAGGGAGGGTGGGTGAAGAAAAATGTACTAGCAACTCCTACAGATTTTGGTTAACTACATTCACCTTGGAGGTAATGCAGGAAGAAAGCTATTTGCAACTTGCATGAAATGGAAATAAACCCTACAGAAACACAAAGTACTACTTACATTTCAGTGTTGGTACCTCAAATAACCATTAGTATCTTGCTCTTTAGTTTAAAATTTTCTTGCATATGTGACTACATAGAAGAACTCCTAGATCCCTCTCTCCCTCCCTCTTCAGTCAGAGGGCTGTTCCAGGATTATTTTGATCTCTGTCAATCAGGAATACAAACCTCTGTGTTGTTTCCAAACCACCAGACATAAGTAAGTGTTCCCACTTGGCTTGGCCACAGTACTGCTGTGGCGTTGATCTCCTTGTTCTTCGTGGTGACAAAGGGCAGAGATAAGTGAACGTGTTCCAAGGGGCCTGCAGAGACAGAAGCAGCAAGTGAGTCCTCCATCTGAAATGTCAACCTGAGAGGGATACCCATCGGTTTAGGAAAGAAAAGTCTTCCAAATCACCGTGGGACATGACAGAATGTTGTAGCTCGGTACCATTTCTAGACAGGCAGGGTCCTCAGAGCCTCAGAGAACTGGAGCTGCCCCTGTACCCTGGAGCTGAAAAACCTGGACTCTCTACTGTATGAACATCACATAGTCAGGAGTTTTATGACTAACAATAGTGGCAGAGCCCTCTTGTGTGAATACGGCCTTCACTGAGAAGACATAAGAATGTGCAGGATAAATGGCTTCAGTGGACATGAAGCATCTCTGCTGATGAAAACTGCTATGATTTGGTGAACTTCAGCAGAAACTCTCTCCAAAGATAGCTATTCACTGAGTGCCTGCATGTTATGTTACCTTATATTCCCTCCTTTTCATCAATAAACGTTCATTTCTTCAGTATAAACAGAACATAATTCATTCGACCAGTAACATTACGCTCAGGGTTACATATTTCCCATTTTCAGAAGACAGACTGGCCTTTGTTGTTAAATCCTATAGATTATTTTTAAAAATGTTTTCTGACTGTTCAGCAGGAGAAAAAAGCAATTGTCTTGAGTGACAGAGAAAGAAAAAGAAAAAAACCCAAGTGACATGGGCACATGGATTCCTTAAACAGATTAAGGTCACATCTACATGTCCTACATCTGTGAGCTCCACAGTGAGTAGAACCACAGCCACAGCCTTGCATTGCTCCTGTGGAGTTGAGATAAATTGCTAGAGGATTGTATACATTTCAGGAGAGGATCTTTCAGGATATAACCCAGGTATGAATCACCACTTAGACCTTCCTTTTCAGCCTAAGGGAACACCACACTCTGGAGCAAGCATCCTGTATAGCACAATAGGCAGAGAGAAGAAAAAAATCTCCTGAATCAGACAGTAAAAACAGTGCCAGGATAAGGACCAGTGTTACTAATTTCTTACTGAAATGGATCTTTCTCTGGGCTGCAGACACAGTTGCGGCTTAATCTGAAGCAGCCCAATTAAGAGTTATCCATGATCATACTAACCAAAGCCTGCTATAATCAGACCATGGCTCATTGTTCCTTTTGTAAGCAGCACTGTGACACTTTAAAATTGAAGAGAAGCCACAATTTCACCCTTATGATTTTAATGTCATCCCCTTTCTCAGACCCATTTCCATGACTAGGCTGTGCCTGCTTTCAACACGACCCTGAAGACCTGAAAAACAGCAATTTCCCAGGCTAAATATTTCACAGCTCTGGCATTCTTTGGGACGTTTGTCAAATGCCCAATATCAGCACAGCCCTACAGAGGAACACACTTCCTAACACTGGGTACAGTGACAGCTCTGACAATGGAGCCCATGGAAAGGCTGACACACTCCAACGTAACTGCATCACTGCTCTGAACAGATCCCAAACGATCCTGCACAGCAGAGTGCCCAGCACCTCCTTGGACCTTCACCATATGCTGGCTAGGAAAGGACATACAAGAATGGCTCAAGCAACCCAATTCTGCCTGAGTATTTGAGAGCACACAGCACTCGGGTCAGGGCAGCTGAAACGCTGAACTGTTATCTGGCCAGCAGATGGGGATAGCTCACTCTGGATTGCCCCTCAGCTTGGTAGAAGACTGCTTTCACACAGGTAAGTTTGAAGAGGATTCAAGAAAATCCATTTCTGAGCTTCATGCAGGGCCATGGAGGCTACAGACCTTCACCTGCCCCAGGAAAAAAACTGTGTACAAGTCCCAGAAAACAGAAAGGGAGAAGCTTCTCAAAAGGCTCATTTGTGCAGGTGATGATTTTCTGAAGCATTCAGACGAAGGTATAACTAACTTTCCAGGAGAAAATTTTCACATGTCAGGACAGTTTAGAGACAGTTTAGAGACAGTTTAGAGACAGCCTGTTGGCTGGAGCAGTTTACATACAGCAGTTTACACTGTCCATCCAACTCAAAATGCTCCTATCTCACAATAACCTGCATTTCTGGACCAACTGCAGCAGAGGCACTGCTTCTGTGCACTGGCCACATGGTTGCAGCAGGATGAGGAGGGCATGGGATGAAGCCTTTACTCTTATCTGGGAGATCACAAGCACTGAGGTTCAGGGTCTGCAGTTTTTCCTCTGCTGGTCATTGGCAGGGAAGGGTGCTGGAAGGCTCTAGACACTCACATTACTAACTCTCTAACTAGGGATCACCCAGTTTGTAGGCCTTTTTAAAAACCTAGATGTTCAGGATGCACACTGCTTTTCAGTGGATCTTAGCAATAGAGTGTGTGTGTCTATTTTAAGGACAGATATTTTTACAAAACTCCCCAAAGGCCAAGCTCAAATCCCCCAAGGAGAATACTCAGCAAAAGCTGAGTGGCAATGCAAGTATTCAGCTGGGATATAGAAGCTTTTGTGGATCAGGGTGATAGACTCTGAAGGAGGCAGAATTTACTGCACATCTCTGTCCTCAGTAAGTCTATTTGTAGTCTGAATGGTTTCATGCTCATTTATAACCTGTTTTGAAGTCTCTAATTCTTGTCATGTAGAGAAAGGTGAGACACATCCCTTAGAGCTGTCACTTCTCCAGGGATTTAGGAACATATAATCTGGGCCTGGCTGCAATGATCACTCCATATTTAAATCCTATGCTGGCATTACCTGTACAAACCTCGAAAACATAAACTATCAGCTGCTAAGTCACACAAACAAATTAGAATATTGTTTATTCCCTGTACAACTTAAACAATCAAAATGGTTAATAAGCCTTCAGCGTCTCAAGAAAATGAACTAGAAAAGCTATACAGCAGAAAGACACTATGAGTGAGTGAAGGCTGGACACCTGCCAAGTGAAGGTGTTTTTGAGGGGAGACATTCAGGGAAATGCTTCTCTAGTGTTCCTTCATAAAAATCCTATCTCCCACAGCCATACCTCCCACTGTTCCCATCTGTGGATACAATGGTGCACCCTTAAAGAGCTGCCCTCTTTCCCTCAAGAGGTAGCTGCTTTCATGCTGTAAGAACTAACTCCAAAACTAGTGTTAAAGTACATGGAACGTGCTAAATTATCTAGACAATATGTCAAGTAAATTTGGTAGAGGGTAAGCAGTATTTCTGTAAACATAACTTCATGTTTTGGAATTTCCTTTTTTCTCAGTTTATCTGGCACGGAGGCACACAGTCGCAAACATAAATAATAAACAAAAATCCCCCACTGTAAAAAGAAAATTATGGCCCCAAACAAAATCCATTAGGAGTGTTACAAAATATCAATAAATAAGTTGACCCCTTGGGTTCATAACTATGTGCTAGAATAAATATGAAAAACCACAATATTGGTTTTATCCAAGAACTTGAGATACGTTTCAGTTGTAAATCAGAGACAGATGAAGTATAAAAATGTTAAAAAGAACAGCAGAAAAGCAATGTGAAGATAACATTTTTTTCTTGCAATACTATTTAATACAAAGATTTTGGTTCCTATGACAACAGAAAGACTAAAATGCACTGGTTTCCATCCCAGAGGTGGATGTATTTCATTAGAGGGCAAAACACATGTACAAACTAAGAGACAAAGCTTTTAAAAGTGATTAAAGATCCCTGGGTTTCTTTGTTGTTCTGGAAGTATAAGCTTGCTAATGAAAGTGCATTTCAGAGAGAGCTGAACAGTCCTTTGAGGTGTCCCAGTTTAGACTACTGTAAATTAGAGGTGGAACATGGTTTACAAGGCAGAAGTTAATGGTTAGACTCAATGATCTTAGAGGTCTTTTACAACATTAATGAATCTATCATTACTCTCAGTCTGGAATCATCAATCTGTCTGGAGGACAGACGAAAACTCATCATATCCCATCACTCTGGACCCAGCTGCAAAATCCCAAATGTCACCTCTAACTGCAAGTAATAATTTTTTAAGAACAACAGAAGCCAACAATGAGTATGAACATACATACACGTCACGTGCAGGTAGAGGACAGCGTTGTCAGAACCCAGGCTGTTTTCCACTAGCACAGTCACTCGGAATATGCCCACGTTCTGGTAGATGTGCCTGATCCCGTCTTCTGTTGAGCTGAGATTGGCATATGACACAGCAATGCCGTCTCCAAAATCCACTTGAATGAGGGATCTCTGGAGATCTCCCTGGAATGACAGAGAAAGGATCAAAATAAGCTCTGCTTTAGTTTTCAGACTGGATCAGTGAGGTGACCAAGACCAACTGGAGGACAACAACAAGGTCTGATGTAACCAGAGGCAGAGTGGTCCCTTCATCAACTTGCTCGGTAGTCAGTGGACAGAAAGTGGACCTTCCTTGAGGCTGACTCAGCTGCACTGTGAAGGAGGTGTCCTGCAAGGTGTGTGCTGTAGCCCTGCTTTGTCAGTTATCAGGGGACTGGGGGATCTGATTCCTTTCCCTGGGTTACACAGCCTACACTGACCTCTCTACCAACTATGGCTGCTAAAGGTCCCTTTCATGTAAGATGCAGTATCTTCTCTTACCTTTAAACATTCTCACTCCTTTAGGAAGTCCCCCCAGTGGCTCCTCATGATGCTTATGCTGGCTGTGTTCATACTTGCTGGCTATTGCTACAGAACAGCTCACTCCACAAGCCTGGCATACTGAAGCAGCAGCCACTGTGTGGAATGCTGGAAAATTAATAGCTGAGGGAAGTTCATAAAATTGGCTGAAAGGACATTTCATTTACTTTGGTTTTGTTTCTTTTTCTTTTCCTTTTTTTTTTTTTTTCCCTCTTTTCCTTTGAAAGAGAAACAGTTGTCTGGATTCCCAACTGAAATGAAAGGTACCCATGTAAATGTCTGGGATCAGGCAGGTTTCCACATCAGAAAGCGATATGTGAGTGCATGAGACTACAGGAGGGAATTATAACAGAAGCTTTATATTCCTCATGTTCTCTCAGTCTTTTTATAACTTGTGAAGGCAAAAATAGTGGAGCCTTGCCTGAATGGAAAGCAGGAGGAGTAGAACTGTACCTGGGGATGGCAGAAGTGACAAATTTTCCCAGATAATCTCTTTATATAGGCTGAAGTTGTAGTTGCTACACTGCCCTGGCACCCTACTGGAAGCTGTGTTGCTCTGTTTAGGAGGATCCCAGACTGAAGGTGTGGCAGGGGATATGGTCTAAAGTGCAGAGTTATGTCCTTCATTGATCTTTATTATTTAAAAGATGTGCAGTTTCAAGCATGGTGCAGTGCTTTGGGCACTCCTGCCTGTCTGACTGAGCCAACAGAAGCCATCAAATGGGCTATGCTTCCATAGCCAGAAGAGAACATACATGAGCTCCTCAGCTCTGAACCCCTTTCAGAGAGGGACTGTATTCTCTCAAGTCCAGTGTTGGACTCAGACCAAATACAGACACCTCTGAAGCACCCTTAGATGCTCCCCCAGTTCCTCTAGGTCCATCATCACTAGGGTTTTAGTCATCTTTTCTTACTAAAAAAAAGAGATGATGCCTTTGAACAGTAAAACTATACTGCTGAGACAAAAGCTGTTCACATGGTTAAAACTGCATCACCATAGTGACCCTGCTGGCTTTATCATCTCTGATCGTATTTGAAGCATGTAGTTGAAGTCCGTTTCAGACTGTGGAATATTCCTCCACGTATTTGAGGTACAAGAGAAGGATGACAGCATTTTAGAGTAGCCTTATTTCTGCAAGTGTCAAAATCTGTGCTCTAATGAATGTTTTTTACTCTTGTCTTCATTTTGTCCATAGCCATGAAACCCAAGGTGTTTACAGGTGCAGTCAGGGAAAGAAGCCATTTCTAAGGTAATGCAAGATTTAGATTTCAATTTTTTTTTTCAAATTCCCTAGGGAGAAAAGATGCTGACAGAAATAACCAAAAACCTAATTAGAGAAGAGCTTCAGCTGTTGTTCCCTCAGTCTTTTTCATTTGTCTTGGCCTTTCCTGTTCTGTTTTAAAACTCTTTGAACTGGAAATACATTTTCCATTGAGTAAGATCCAGGCTATAACACTCCTCTGAAAATGCCACATTTTGAAAAGCTGACATTTAAAATTCTAGGTTAGGAAGTGAGAGAAAAAAGTCAGGAAAACAAAGAGACTGTGTTTTGATTTGTTCTTATGTTTTATCTGTGCCAGCTAAGAGCATAGGCAGAATAAGACAGGAAGAGAAAGCAGGTGAACCAAAATCAAAACATTTCCCATACAGCCTACACCTGATCTACATCAACCTCAGCTGTCTCTGTCTCCGGCAGCTCTCCAGAGCCACTTGCAAGTGGTTGTTTTTACCAAGTGTTTTGCTTTGCAAACAATTTGATGTATATATATATATGTATATATATATATACACACACATCCTGCAAAAACCTCTTTTTCCCGCTTGTCCTTGTCATTTTGTCAAGCTCCATACTATATGATAGGGTTTTTCTGAAGCTTCTAGCTCAATTAAGGCAGACACAAAACCCCCTGCATTACTTCTGCAGCCACAGCCAAGCTCTTGGATGCAACCAGCACTGAGCTATCTTTGGGCAGATTCCCTGGCCTTCATTGTAAGAGGTTTTTAATGCCAGTGTTCTCAGGCATCAAGGGAGAAATTTTCCAAGCTGGTTGCTTGCAGTGATATCTCTGCATTCAGCTCCTCTATACTACTCACATGAAGCCAACCAGTAAGCAATTACCATACCTGAAAAACTGAAAGTACTTTTGATGGATGTTTTTTACCTTGTACTAGGTGTATGCAATATGCACAAGCTTGGATGTAACCTGAAGTACGCTGAAATCTTGACAAAGGCTTTTGTGCAGCTGAAGGTTTAAGCATATGCTGAACTTTAAGAACAAGGGCACTTCTTTCAGCCTAAAATAAGCCCTGAGAATTAAAAACAAGTTTCTCAAGGCCCCATATTAAGCCCCTTACCTACCTATACAACATTTGTAACTAAAATGTAAATTAGAAATTTACTGATTTTAAGCGATTTTCCCATTACAAGTCCAGGAGTTTTTCAAGCATACACAAAATATTCCCCTCTCCATCCTTCCCATTCCTGCCTCCCAAGCCAAGTGCACATTTTTCCTGTATCTTCACAAAAGAATAAAGCTCTGGAGCTAATGTTTCAAAATGTTTCAAAAAAAACTCTGTGAAGCTTCCTGCCTCAGCTTATATCAAGAAACGGCCCACACAATTAGCAACAATATCTTTATATTTTGATTACTTTTATGCAGCTCTCAGAATTTGGTGGATGTCAGATGTGAGACTCACCTAGCAGGATCCTCTCTTAAATATTCCATCAGAATCTCGCCCAGAAAGTACTGACTCCAAGTATTTACTATGAGGGTGTGTGAAACACTGGAACAGGTTGCCCAGAGAGGTGTCAGATGCCCCATTCTTGCTAGTATTGAAGGTCAGGTTGGACAGGGCTCTGAGAAAACTCATCTGGTTGAAGATTTCCCTGCTCATTGCAGGGGTGTTGCACTAAATGACCTTTAAAGGCCCCTTCCAACTCAAACTATTCTATGATTCTATTTGTATCTAAATGGAAGTATTAAAACAGTGAAACAAACACAGCTCAAGGTTTTAATTTTGGCTCCCCTGTTTCAGATTTCATTTTTAAGGCTTTCAATTATGCACTGACTTGTGTGTCTTCCACAGAGATGTTGACAATAGTTTTAATTATCCTGTGCAGGAGACAGACACTGCATCTGTTGGAGTGTTTTCATGGATTAATTTCATTGTGCTTTCCTTAGATTAACAACTTTCCCTCTTTGGAATTTTCCTGGTACCAAAAGAAATCATCCATCAAAGATATTTTCACTAGAACTTAATATCTACACATGGAATACCTTTAGTCTAGGCCTGTTTAAAGCATATTCCCCATTTTAAACAGATACTCATATACAACTTGATTAAGTACTGAAAAACATGCTTTCCTGTGTAAATCCTTGCTTTTAGAGTTATGCTCTTAATTTTTCAAATCATAAACTGAACAGTAAGGAGTTGTTTATGAGAGCAAATAGCTTGATACCTTTCACATGTACTTCTTTTTCAACAGCAAACAGTTAAGTGTACCGATCACATCACTCATCCTGACTGCCAGTTGTGACAGCCCAACTCAGTTATGAGCTATTTCTATGGGAGTAGATCTTCCATGCCCCAAAGGAATCAATTAGTACATCCCCTCCCCTCCCAGATTATGCAGAATAATTCAACTTGTGTGACTGGAAGTGCATTACAAGACTGCAGTGCTGTGTGTCATCATGAAGGCAAGGTCCACTTTCATACATTTTCATGGAATTTCAACAGTGGATTTAAAAATGCGTGAAAGGCTCTGATTTCTCCCAACCAGCTTGTCATCATCAGCAACACAGAAAATGCAATTATAATTCAGATGACAGTGGTATGGGGGAGGTTATGCACTGATCTTTCGTCTGTGTGTTATTACAGGAGTGTAGTGTTGTTTCTAAGATAATGATTTAGCATGTGCATTAAAATTTAGGATGAAGGTTTCATATTTCTGTAATCATTACTAACACAAACTTGTGATATCAAAAGAGGAAACACAGTAGGATACCACAAAAAATACAGACTATTCTTTTAATTACTACTAGCTTTGCATCTTCAATAGGAGTACATCAACAATCAAAACAACCCTAATGCTAAGCTCATCTCCAGAAGCTTCATCTGAGTTGAATAATGAATTGCACTGAACAACAGTGCTGAGGTGGGAAATGCTAAAGGTATTGTCCCCCCACCGTGATCCCCAAGCTCATTAAATGTACCAGAGACACAGCGTACCTGGTACAGCCGTGTACTAACATTGTCATTACAGAAAGCCACAACTGTCTCTAGGAAATTCGGGGCTTCATTTTTATATTCACATGGTAAGAGAGTTCTCTGGCCTTATGAACATTCAGTACATAAATAAAAGGCATGGGGAGGGTATGAGGGAGAATGCAAAGCTCTACTTTCAAATGAGGGAATAAAAAAGTGGAAAGTTTAAGTTTCTTACTCAAGGTCATGCAGAAGGAGCTCAGAGTGCAGTTCAGGAATGAGTACAGATTGCCTGAATTCTAGCCCATGGCCTGAAGTGTAGGAACAAATGAGCTTTCCCTGCACATTAGTCTAATCCAAACATCATATAGCAGCAGCAAGCAGTTAAAAGCAAGCTAAAATCTATTCCCAGTGGAGTGACTTTGTCAAGTGAGAACTGAGGCAGGCCTGGAATGTCAAAGACTTTTGGCTGTCATTTTAGCAAGATAAAAAATAAATTAGAGGAGGCAGTTTCTCTGTGAATTATCTGTAATGAAACAGCCAAAGCCCTGAACCTTCCTGCCCTGAATGTCTTTACCATCCATTTCCTCAGCAAAGATGTATGTGCAATCAGATGAAACAAGTTTGAAAGCCATTGTGTTGAACAGTGTTGTTCTGGAGGCTGTAGCTTTCAGTGTCTCTGCTGATGCAGTACAGCAAGCACTAGGGTCTGATGTTCACACAAATAACTCTAACATACAAATAACAATTGTGTTTGTGACAGGCAAGAGACCTACATGACCATGTGATGAGAAAGGCACACAGAAACAACACCCACTTAATAAAATTCCTCTATTTTCTACTACAGAGAAGCAAAATCTGTCAAGGACATGAGGTCAAATAACTTCAGCAGGAAAAGTGGTTTTGTAACTTTAGGGTTTTTTTGGTTTCTTTTCTTGCTGTCCAAGGATTTGGGTTGTTTAGGCTGAGAAGCAGCTCTGTTGTTGAATGCTGCAGTGTGAGAGGCACCAGCCCCAGGTCTGTACATGCAGCACAGGCCATGGCAAAGGATTAACCTTTAAACTGACATCCTTTTGAGCTTGTGAAAAATTTTCTTTTGAGCACAGCTAGTTTTCTGCCTATCAATAAATGACAAAAATGCTGGTGCTATTCTCCTTATCTTAATGGAAATTTAAGAGCATAATTACCAGCTTGTTTTACTCTATACAATGGAGCACATGCTAATTAGGAAAGGAAATATTGAAGTTGCCTGGCTGTTGTCACCCAGTAAGAATATCATGATGATTATACACAGGTTAATCAGAGAACTAACTTGGAAAAACCTTTCCACAAATGGGACTACAGATATTAAGGGCAAGGTGTCCTTATGAAAAGTTTTTAGGAAGTCATACAAAAATCCTAAAGGTAACAGGAAAGTTAAATCACTTTGGAAAGCATTCTTACATTCAGATCATTGTAATACAGGCTATTGGTTGTTTTGCTTTTAATAACAATTATATAATGCCAGATAGAAATGCTTTACAGGAAAATTTCATGGCAGTCAGGGTTAGAGAAAAGGCCAGAATCCCAACACTCAGAAATCAGCACTGCTTTATGTTCTCCTGGCTTTGGTGCCTGCCCCCTCTCCACTCACACAGACTTCAGTGATTATTTTCCTTTTGTGTCTTCTTCAATAGCAGAACATTTCTGAAAGCCTTGTCCTTGTTTCTCTTCAGGCATCTTTTACTGACATTGTGTTTTTGTCAGAATGCACAGTCACTGCCCTCAGCATCACCACAGGCACAAACAGGCTCTACAACTGACTGCTGCGCTGTGGTTCCTGCCCCTGAATCCCATATCTGAGTGAAAACATCAGGTTTATTTTACTCCTGCCATTTGCCTCTCCTTACCCTCTTAGTAATCTGCCCCACTACAGAGATGCAGTGACTTTTCAAGCCCTCCAGTGAGCCTGCCTCTGCAGTTTGTTCTTCTCTTCAAACCCAGGTGGATTCTTAGATGAAGCAGAAAGCCCTAGAAAGATATTAGAGTACAAATGTCAAAAAAAACTCCTGTACCTTAGCTCACCAGCTTCTCTTTTTTTCCCTTTTTCCTGCAGATCAAGTGGAACATGGGCATGAAAAAAGAGAGCCAGAAGGCTGCAGTTTAAGGTACAGCTCTGCAGATCTGAAGCCTTAAAAAAAACTGTCTCAGAGGGATGCAGGAGACATTAAGAAGCAAAGGGACTACAACATAAGGAAAGAGCATTATTTTTTCACACCCTAAAAGATATCAGCTGTGGCTCACATTAAAGAAGAGTCCTTAACAGATTGTTATATTTCAAAATATTGACCACCACTCTAGGGGGAAGGTTGGATAGGACACACTTTTTTCAATATGCCATTGGGGAAAAAGCATGCAAGGTGACACATCTACCCTTTTGTAACGTGCCTAATCCCTTCCCTTCAGCAAAAATGGAGTGGCATAGATTTTGTTGATACTGAACATCCTGGATTGTACCATGCTTTATACCTGCACAGGGTAGAACTAAGTAGAAATTGGCAAATTCTTGTTTTCTGATACCTCTACCTTGAATGCAAGGAAAAGAAACTTCCCTTTGAGAATTGGGGTCAAACTAAACAGTATCCAGAGATCCCTTTCAACCTCAACTATCCTGTGAAATCAATATCCATTCTGTAAAAGATTGGTTGTTCTCTTGATGGGCTGTTTAACTTTTTCAGTCAGAGGTGTGATTTTTGTTATTGAAACAGTTAATTTAGTAAATGTTTTAGTCTATATACCATTATGCTGCTATAACTACATTTTATTCTCCTATAGCTTGCATATAGCTGGGCAAATATTCTTCTTTGCTGAATATTTCTTTTGTTGCAACATCCACCTGAAGCCACTGCCAAATTGGCTAAAATTTACTCAAAGGTTCTGTTAGTTGCTCTGTAAACTCTTTATGTTGACAAATCTAGGAGTGGGAGGTCAAGATTCATTTAACAGGCAGAGTAATCTGAAAGGCTGGAGGTTGATCAATACTGTTTCAACCCTCAGATTGATTCCTAGCCTCTTCCTTATCAGATGTCCTGAAAGAAGAGCTCCCTTTAGATCTCCTCAGAAGCTGCCACTCATCAAAACATACTGTGTGTACTCCTTGACACACACTACGAGAAAGACACCATCTCATACTGGAGAAGATGTTGCTTCCAGGTCTGGTGAATACTGAAGCAGGGCTATCAAAAAAGACCAGAATGAACAGAAAAGATGGAACAAATCACAGCAGGTCCCTGTATGACAGAGTAGTCAGGGTATTCTTACACGGTATGTGAGCTTAAACACTCACAGAAGGAAGTGCAGGGCATTTGTCCTGAGTTTCCCACACTGTGGGTGATTGTCTATCCCTCTGACTACTGGCATAATTCTTTGAGAGTTTTGTGACTGACTACTCAGATTATCCACCTTCTTCTCCCAGTCCATTTTAAAACTTAGCTGAGAGTAGAAAGCTAATGCAATGGACAGTTTGTTTGTTTGTTTGTCTGTTTGTTTAATTTATTATTAGTTTATTTATTTTTACTGTCTGGAGACTTTGAGTCTTGGTTTGGACTTTTTCTTCTTCATATTTAAATGTAGAAATCAATAATTTAACCAGATGAAATTATATGTTCACACTGTCATTATAGAATCTACAGTAGCAATGTTGTATGACTGATAGTATGGAAATAAAGTGACCATATTTCAGAGAAAATAAACATTCAGGTCAAACAACTGCTTCAAGTTAAATATGATTTATCATATGCTATTGCCTTTACAAATCAGGACACCTGTTTGCTGTGGAAAGCATCAATAAAAGAGATGTAACAAAATTCATTTCTCTTTCCTTGCAGATGGCATTTATTATGGAGAGGGTCAGAAGTAACTTCTATGAATGCTCTAATTTATAAAGGGACATACATTGTGCCCTGGTGTTAAAGCTTACTATGTTTTAGGATTTATTGTCCAGTTACAGAGGAAAAGGGGTAGAAGTTTAAAGAAATCAAACTGGATTAGGAAAAAAAGAGAAAACTCTTGCTTTATTCTTACTTGTGTACCTACAATTAAACCTAGATGAAGTGTTGAGAAGGAAAAACAGGCAAAAAGATTTAAATATTTTTTTGTATGGATTCAGAAATGGAGGGAGAAAAACACTAAAACACCAAGCTAAGTTGCACACATAGCAAAAATACAGATGAGAATCTGAATAAGCTTCACATTAGCAATGAATTTCAGTCTTAATCCTGCTGATGACATCTTGAGATTTCACCCATTAATGCCTAAACAATATGTACCAGCTTGTGTGATGGGACACATCTGCAAGTATTCTGTTAGCCATCTTTGGCTGAAAGTCATTGGCAAGTAAAAATGGAAATTCAGTTTCAAAAACAGCAGGAAGCCAAAAGCACAGTTAGAGGTGGGGACCAGAATTCAAAACTGCACTCTCCAGTACTACTGTGAAATTCCCAAATTAAACCAGTTCCCAGTTTTTATCAACTTCTCCCAGCTGTTACCCTATGCACCACCATACTCCAAATAGCCTCTCTATACACCATCCATTACACTTTAGAGCAAACTGCATCCAGCTACATCATGGAGCTGACTGACTTTATACCACCCTCTCCCAGTTCACCTCTTTGCAAACTCTGTCTGGCGTGAATACAACCCATGGGGCTTGGAGTGCAATGTAAAAATAGAGCCTACCTCTTCCAGCTGCACCAGGAAAGTGACATTGTGTCCCTGCTCAGCTGTCAGTCTGCCGTCAGCCGTGATTATGCGGAGGCCCTGGGGGGGTTTGCCAGGGCACTGCTGTGGCTTTGCTGTGTACCGTTCCCGCACACCGTCCGTGCAGTTATTGGAAACAACCTTCCGGTACCTGGAAAGGGATAGGGAAATCCGTGGAAGACGCTGGCAAGGAGCATAACAAGGGTTAACTGGGAACAGGTTTCTTTAGGTTACGGAGATTGGAAGAACACTGATTCCCAAATATATATTAGTATTTGCCTCAGCCAACCATTACTCACGTGCCTAAAATACAAGTAGTTAATGCTGTTGTTAACGGCACACAGTAATTTCCTGCACAACATGCCTTGATACTATATATTTATAAATTGCCTAAACCATAAAGTTATATCATCTGCTACATGTTAAATAACTATAAAGTTATACATAAATTACATATGTATACAATATGGAATTGTATTCCATTATTACACTGTAAGGCATAGTGTAACAACTTTTCTCATATGCTCTCCACTTCTTATTGTAAGGCAAGCTTCTCTAAAGATGTAACCCTTGTGAGTTGGAAAATAAAGGAGTTGAAGGAAAAAGCAAATTCTGCATGACTTTGAGTGTACAAAACCCCCAAACACAGCTTAGGTTGCTTTGCCGCCTTTAATCACTTGCACCATAAATGAAGTCTGTCAGTATCTTAACTTAAACTGCATCTTCCACTGACTCCCAAGAGGGTCAAAGAACAAACAGCATTCAGGCTAGCTGCCCATCTATTACTTCAGTTCACATATAAATCAATTTAATCTCTTTCCACTAATTTATTTTCCATTTTTTCTGCCTTTCCTGATCTCACATTATTCTAAGTGAGACTTTTCTGAGAATAATGATTTGACCTTTGCCTTATGGTTTTGCCCCCAAGTTTCTTTAAGGCCACATCTTTCAGAGAAAGGTCTGGAGCATACAGGAGGGAAGAAGATGTTCCAAGGGCTTCAGCCAGCTTTGAGACACCTATAGTAAATGTAGCTATAGTTGTAATTGGGTTAAGTCCATATGGTTGGTTTAGCTAAATAAAGTCTGGTGTGCCACTTACCCAGTGCTGTTGAGATAACTCTGTCCAAGGCTACAGTCCTTCGACAGGGAAGATGGGTTATACCAAAATGCTGGTAAGCACTGGCCATTGCTGTGGCGTTCATATCCATAATCGCTGTTTTGACATTAAAAGAAACCATAACATAAAAAAACCAAAAGAACAAATACAGGTATTAGTGCAAGTCCTCTACTATTAATACAAGTTTTGGTTTTCCTCCCTCTGTTTACTAGGGTTTCTGGTTTTTAATACTGGTAGAATAGATTGTTTATTCCACTTATGTTTTTTTTTATTGGGGGAGTTATCTTGCATATGTCCCAGAATAAACAAGCAGAACCAGACCAGGTAGTTTATGAGCTATTGTATCAGGTGTTCTCTTTCTAACAGGGCTTCAAGATCAACTCTAAGCTCAAATATAATAAATATAATAAAAACTAAATATCTAAGCCAAGTTAAATCACCACTGTCTCAATCACATATTAGAAAACTGAAGTGTTAAAAATCTAATTGTATTTGGAAATTATATTAAATATATATTAATCTATTATTATAAATATTAATATTTATTAATAACTAGAATATTATTATTAAATTATTACATTAAATTATTAAATAGAATGTAGAGGAAAATTTACACCACTGAGAGAGATCTTTCCTGAAGACATTAACAGAGTATTCAGTAATGGAAAAGAAGTCTTTGATCTTCCATTCTCTTTTTGTTTGGAAGAGGAAATGCTACCAAAAATCATGTGTTAGAAACAATGAATCAAACTGTAATCTTTTGACATAGTTTGGGTTTAGCTATGACTAAATTTGCTTTAGTTTCACTAAACAAAATTTCAAATTGTTTCTGATTCCAGGTAAACAAAGACTCTAGAAAAATTGCTATTGTGGAAAAAATAAACAAACAAACCCGCTCTTTAATCAGTATTCCATTCATATGTGGTGTTACTTTCCAACCATTGAGTAATGAGTACTACTTGGTTGGATAATCACTCTTATTCCTTTTCCTAAGCTTTCTCCATAGCCCATAATGGAGAATTCAATGGAATTTCATTTCTGGAAACTGCTATAGAGAGTCCACCAACTCCTTTCCAGTATTGCAGTTGCAACAGAATCCTTGATCTTAAAATGGAACTTATTTGCAAAGCACATTTTTAAATTATTATTTTTAATATCTTGGTATCAAGTAGACTGATATTCTAAGAAAAGAGGATTAGATTATGTGATGAAAGGCTCATATCTATACATGTTTGTAGAGAAGCAGAGAGGAAAAACAGGGTGTGGAGGAACTCCAAAAACCTGATCAGAGCTAGCGGAGCCACTGCTCCAGCTCCTCCCAGGACTGTCACAGGACAGCCATCAGTCCATGGCCAGGGTGAGACCTACCAGATCATCAACAAGTGAGGCTGTCCCCAGATCACTCTGACGATCCCTAAGCGGGGGTTACTGCACACAGGAGCATGAGGATCATTATGCCATGACAGGGAAGCACATCTCACATCTCCATTTCCACTTTCCTGGGTGAGGGGCCATCTGTTCTCTGTGTGTCTGTGCGTGGGCAGTGGTCTCACCCTCAGCAGCCAGACCCAGACCATGATTCACAGGGCACCATGTGCTCCCACTGACAGCAGCTGGACTGACCAGAGTATGTGCATCTGGGGAAACAAGGCATCCAGGGGCTAGATACTGAGCAAGACCACGTACTGGTGGGATCAATATTTTATGTACACATAAAATACAGTGCACATATTTTCCAATATACATATTTTCCAACAACAAGAATGTTTAACTTAATGAAGACTTCTTAAAAATGCCTCTTTCATTCTGGATGAAAGTATGATAGCTTAAAAAAACATTAATGAATCATTATTTAACAATTTTAAGAAGCCTGGTACTGATTTAAGATATAAGACAAAGAAGAAAAAAGGAAAGAGTATTTTCCAATTTATCTTTGTTAAGTTTCTTTTACTTGTTATCAAAAGCAGGACAATGAGAAGAATTCAGTCACCACTTTTTATTTCTGCCTCAACTCCTCCTTCTGAATTGAGAAAAAAATGTTTTGAGGCAGTCTTAAAAAGGGAAAATTAAAAAGATGACATTAAGCAAAAGAAAATTAAAACTGCATATCACTTGGGAAAACTCCTAAACATCTATTAGACTGCATGACTGTTCCAAAGGAACATTTTGGCAGCTGTGGTGCTTGGGATATCTACAACAAGTAATTGAGAACATACTCTAGGAAACAGCAATCAAGTAGATGACCTAAATGGTCTTTTCCTAATTTTTTTTTTTGACTGAGTTTTCATCAATCTATTTACTCAGATGCTAGTGGCTGAATGTTGCTTAATTGCTTTGGAAGCATCAGCCAGCCTGTTCTCCCACTGCCATGTGCTTCTATAATCATCCTTGTTGGAATAAGAACACTATAGCTGCAGAACACACTTTGTAATGAAGAATAACACCATTCTGATTTGCTTAGAGAAAACAAATATTTACATACAAGTGGGACTATTGTATTTTTGTAATTCATTTGTAAACACTCTGCAGCACTGTATTCCTAAGTTATCATGTGTGACTCTAATTAAAAAGCTGTAACACTGTACACACACAATGTTCTGTAATCATTTAAGTGAAAACAAAACAAACTAATACAGTGAAATCTGCCTCAGAGGGGATCAGTACTCATAGTCCAATTTGATGCAGTAGTCTGGGATTTCTTACTTTATATGCATTTAGATTCAAGATACTATTTTGGTTTGTAATACTACCTGTACATCTGGGCAAGCTAAGGTTGACTTAACTAGTTTTGACTGTACTTAGATCATATTTCTCAAGTCAAGAGAAAGAAACCATAGGATTTTCCACAGAAGAAACAGTTACAAGCACAGAAGTTTCAGTGTTGTTTTCAGGCTTGCAAATCATCTGGCTCATTAAGGCCCTACAGAAATATCATCCCAGTAAATGACATGAATTTCTATTCCATATCCCTCTACAGATGCAGCAGCTGCCTGTTCACCTCCGCAGTCTTGGAATCTAATGAATTCCTTGGCTACAGGCTGGTGCACACAGAACACTGATGCTGACAACAAATTGCTGCCTACAATTTGGCACAACAGGCTTTGTAGCAATCACCAAGCATTAGCATCAATTGGATTGCCATAGCACGAGGCAGTAGAGCAAAATCTGGAGATGGGGAAGGCATCAGCCTCAGACTGCAATCAGCTATCCAAGTCATTGCCTGGTAACTGGGAATTGGAATTTGCATATATTGATGATATTTTGTGCCTGCCTGAAAAGAATTCAGGTGACATAGATAATGTACCTATCAAAAAGGAGTGGAGCATATGCCATCAGGGATTGCTTTATCAGTATAAAGCAACCTATCTTGTGGCTTTCACTGATTATGGTTTTACCTTGGCCAATTTTAGTCGTTTAAACTGGAATCCTATTTGTCTTAGTCAAGTAAAACTGCAAGTTCTTCTCTGTAATTAGATACAAATTCATTCCAGAAGTTCTGTATCCCTACTCAAAGCTCCTGATAAATGCCTTTATCTAATGTTATTTGTAGCACAGTTAATATTAAAAAGAAAAGAAATTCCTTAAGGAAGTTTGTAGTTTGAATACAGACCTGAAAAACACACTGTCATGGAAGAACTGTTAATTCACATGAAATTATTAAAATCGCACTACCCTAAGATATAGAAATAACCAGTTAAGTCAGATAAGTGATTGCCACATGCATACCTTCTAAAAATCAAGAAATTTTTAGGACTTCTTTAATATTAACAGCTTCACCTTGAGGTTGACTATGCCAGAAGCTGAAAATGCTGAAAATGGTTTTGTAGGCTGTGCTTTCCAAACTTTTCAGACATTAAATGGGGCATAATCGAAGTATCTCTGCAAATAGTCACCTTTGTTCTGCAGTTTCCAAAATCCCCAGGAGAAAAAAATAACACTGGCCACAGCCATGGAAAAGTCTTATCACCTTTTTATTCACTTAATACCATTGTCTAATATTTAACTATGATGCAAGTGTAGATTTGTATTAAAGGGGAGCTGTGCTTGCTCCACAGTTCTACAGAATCTGAGATGGGATTAAGCTCAGAGAAGGATGGATTCAGCTTTAATCTCAATTTTGAATCTACAAAGGTGTATAATTATAATTGCATTACAGTATTTGGAATCAAGCTATACCAGCCTATGTAAATACAGAACCTAAAATCCCCATAATCTTCCCAGTAAATCCATGCCTGGTGGATATCTAGGCCCTTAAAGGTGCAGAGATGCACTGTAGACTTTGCATAGTGAACCTGCATTTTCCACAAGCATTCAAAATGATCGAAACATTCATTCAAAATTGCCATTTCTTAGCTAACCAAGCATGCTTCAGTGAGAAAGCAAAGTTAGTTAACCTAGGGGTGCAAAGATATGTGTATTTCAGAACTGGCACCTGCATGATCATCAGAACTGATGAGTGGTGACACACGAAGAAAACAGAATCTAATCACACTCAGTATCTGCCCTCTGCCTCCCTGTGGTTTGTCAGAACAGTTTCTCATGATGCAAGACTGATGTTTTAGCATAAGAACTAACCCTGGCAGGCAGGGGTGTAATTTAAGTGCCAGACAATTAAAAAAAAGAGCCAGCCAGATCCCTGCTGATATCATCAGTGATGTAAATAGACCTGATTCCCAACTGTACTAAGGCTCCTTTGTGCCTCTCTGCCTACCTAAAATCACTAGCACCAGTATCAACAGGCTCATCCTTCCCATGAATGTGACAGATATGAGAATACTGATAGGAGAAGCCCTCAGTATTAATGACAGTGAGTTCAGAGGGAGGACTGACAGTGAGACAAAGTTTCTATTAAAGGATCTGGGAGGCAGGTAGCTGAAGGATGAACACCACCAAAGACTTCCATCTGTGTCTGGGAGGTGTTTCTACTGAAGAGATATTGCCACAATAATGCTCAGACGGCAGGAAGGAACACAATGGAAGGAAACCGGGTAAATTAATGTTTTAATAACACCGAAGTAACGGTGTCATCCATTTACCCAAATCAATTAAATGAAGAAGGACATTCTCGTTTCTAGGCTGTTGCTAGGACAGATTTGCCGAGGGCTCCTTTCACAGTCCCAGTCCCCCCATTCCTGAAGCTCTATTGCCCTCTGGCTGCGAGCCTTGGCCCCTGCATGGAGAGCAGACACCTGAGCTCCAGCCCTGTCCCCAGCTCCTTTGGGTTCTCCCCCCGTGATAAAAGATGTCTTCTGTCAGAAGAGTTCAGGTTTCCAAGGCTAGAGAAACTACAGTCATTTCTAATGTCACTCAGTTTTGTTGCTGTGTAAAACAATAAACAAATGTGCCCTTTTCTCTGAGAAGGAACTACCCTGGGCTGCATACAGATTTGAAATGAACCTGGAGCTCTGTGATGTTGCAAGGAGAAAAAACATTATAAAATCTTTATGTCTTTTGTAACTGTCATTTTTCCCCCTAAACTGATAAAAGAGCTCTTGCAGGATTAACAGCAATGACACAACTCTTTTTCTCACTTTAGCTGACCACAGAGATACAATTTTTTACTCCAATCTCTGACAAGCTTAGATAATAAAATTTTCCCCATACAAATTTAGTGTTTAAACAGAAAAGACAGCACAATAACAGGCATTGTTGTCTTCTTCAACTCTGTATATGATTCTGGGTCCTGTAACCATGGGTGTTAATATATAAAGCTGCCTAGTTTATTTTAAGATAGAAAAATCAAGTGCAGGTAGATGAGGGGCTTCTCCCTGCCTGGGGGATACATGTCCCCTTCAGTCTCTTTCAATTAAGAGCCCTGCCCAGCCAAAAAAAAAAAAAAAAAAAAAAAAGAAGAAAAAAGAAAAGATAAATAGAGAATTCAGAAGTATTTCTGAAATGTCATGAGTGAGGATGATGAAAGTGCTTCCTTCTTCCTGCAAAGGAAAGACCCCACAGTGGATATCCTTCCACAGCAAGAATTCATTCACTGATTTTCCTCCAAAATTCCTTCCAACTGCTGCAGGCTGCACTGGCAGTGCAGCCTAGTGCAGAGTTCAACAAGGCAGGCATTGAAAGTTACAGTGGTGCAGCAGCAGCTTTGTCTTCCTTAGCACACAACAGAACTGCTTTCTTCTTGCCATCTCTTTTCTCCTTCCTAGATAAACTTCTGTCTTCTGTTCTCTGTGGACTTTAGTCTGGCAAATCTATGTAAAATTATGTTCCTGGTGAATATTGCTGGTAAATGTTTCTGAACTGGATGCTTAAAGCAATATTTCAGTCTTTTTTCATCAGAGGTAGTAGGGAAGGAAGCTGAAATGGGTAAAGAAATCCAGATCTGAGGACATGAGCTCAGGGAGACCTGGAGGGGATCATGACAGTCCAAACCCAGACTGATTCCATCAGAAGGAGGAGGGCTGTTCTAGGTCAGGAAGGTCTTAATTCTGCCTCTTCCAAAAGATTTGAGGGGATTTGTTCATGTATGTGAACTGTAAGTGCCTGTTATGCATCCTCAAGTATCCAAGCACTCTCTTGAAGACTCTCCCACAAGCCAGCAGTGGGGAAAGTTTCCTTGAGGAGAACATTAAAGAAATAAAAGCATGTTTCTCCCAGTAAATGTCACTGTGGTACTTCTGTTCTGTACCTAGCAAAAAGTTTTGTCATAGCAAACCACACAATCAATTTTAATGAAAAAAAAAATATATATTGTAAGAGAGAAGTTCTGGAAGGAAAGCATATTTTTATCAGAAGTGTTTCAGGTATGCATGCCTCTTATGACTGCAAGGGATTTAATCACGAATAAACTAATTCCATCAACTTTTTTTTTATGAGGGCATAAGTTTGGCTCAGCATTGTACTGCATGGTCAACAAGAGGCTCAAAATCTTCAGGGAATTTCCTTCCTGCTAATGATGGTTTGGGTTTTTGTTTTGTTTGGGGTTTTTGGTTTTTGTTTGGTTTGGTTGTTTGGTTTGTTGCAGTTTTTTGGGGGGTTTTGTTGTTGTTGTTGTTTTCTGGCTGTTATCTTTTTTACATTACTAGAGAAACATTAAATGGTTGAAATCCAGGACCTCTGGACACCTAAATGATAAACTACACACAGAACTGAGGTATCCTCTCCCTAGCAAAGAACTCAGTGCAAGATAGGGAAATCACCAGGAAACCTTATTCAGAGAACCAGTGCCCAAATATGTTAATAATTGCAATTGTTTGGTGCAAAAGAATTTACTGGTTTTGCACACGGAAAAGCCTTCTGTGATTCTATGATTTTATATAGAAAAAACTTCTGTATTTATGGAAGAGTGAGAAGGGAAATGCTGTAAATTTCCATAGTCGTGGAGTGAACTCATCTATCGAGAAACAAAATACTGATAAGATGAACCTCTTCAGGTCATGTTATGGATTCTGGGTTTAATTAGTAACATGGCAAAGATCTAACTGGGTGGGGAACAAAGAGGGTATATTAGCACTGTCAAAGAGCCACCATTTCTCTCATCCAAGATACTCAGGACTTTCAGACCAGGAGAAAAGAGGCAAAAAAGAGATTTCAGTAATGTGGTTCCCTGCCTTTTTTGTGCAAATTGCTGTGAGTCAGCAGTAATCTTGAAATGAAACCAGCAGCTGAACATTTTATCACACCATGAAAGCAGTATCTGCTGGATACTATCAAATATGATGGTTTAGATATAACAAATGACCCAGGAATTTCTGAGATATTTGATTTCTGGAAGCAGAAGGCCTACTTTGCATATGCATACATTTACTTTTACTCAGATATACGTATGTTTGTGTGTGAAGAGTTTCTTTTATTTTTTACACAATGCTATATATGTCTTTATACTACTTTCACAGCCACCCCTGGTCATTGCTGAGGTTAGATGTGCTAAATTTATCTTGTTATCTTAATGTTGCACAGAGCTCAGATGGGACCTGGAAAATGGTCTGTTCTGTATCCGTTTTGTGGGAGCCCTCAAAATTACAGATATCTATTCCACCTTTCCTTCCTTTGACATACCTGCACTATCAAAGAGCAACCTATTTAGACACTTACATGTTTATTAATATCTACTCTGTGCCAGCCTACAGCCTCTCTAGTGAGCTCTGCACTGCTGTGGTAGAGAGCACGCAGTCCTTGTGCCCACTGCTCACCAGTCAAAGTCAGCCTCTGTGCACACACATGGCTCCGAGGTCATACCCCCAGCATATTTCCCTTGCATGCATTTCTTCTCTGACTTGCGCTTCCTGTAGATCCTTTTTGCTCCCATGATGCAAGCTTCTCCCTAGAAACAAAACCAAAAATATTTCTTTGACGCCCACCAGGCTATTTGTGCCACCCGGTTTTTCCAAGCCTGTGCAATGGGAGGTGTTACTCAAGGGAAGAGGATGGGAAGTCAAATGCCATCTCAGTACACCAGAGCTAATTAAAGCTACTGAAGCTTCAACTGAAACTAAACCGGCTTTTCCAATACACCCTAAGAAGCAATCTGAGGTTACTTATATATCTGATTCAGTTCTGAATTTATTCCAAAGCCAATGAGCAATTGATCCAGGCCCATTTCACAGCAACTGAAACACAGTCTGATCCCTCTGCAATCTGAGACACAGAGAAGATCTATTTCTTTAGTCTGATCTCTTTGGGAATAATTTCATTCCGTACAAACACAATATGTGTTTATGTAAATATTTTCCATGAATGAGTTCAGGTTTTACAGGGTTTGACTTGTTATGTGGATGCTAAAACTCCCTGTATTCAGTACCCTGCTAAATATTTCTATCTAGGGAACAAGGCTCAGCCTTGCAATCTCAATGGAAAGGAATTCAAAACGCAAGAGTACACAGCAGTCTTCCTAAAAATAGTTCTGCAAGCTCCAAAGCCAGCATCCTCAAAGAAATGCTGCAAAAGTCTCGGTATTTTTGCTTATGCAAGTACAAGAAAGTAAAGAATAAAATACAGAGAAGTCTCAGTTATTACCTTTTATGCTGCTAAAATCGTTGTAAAAATTTTTTTTGTGGCTTTGATTTTATAATTTAATGGCATGAAACAGAAGGGCCTGAATAGCAATTGGTGTAAAATGTTGTGCTTCCTTGAAATTCAAGGAACTGTACTGATTTTCAGCATCTAAAGATCTAAGTAATAACTGGTCTTTTTAGTGTAGAGTTTTGCCTTGTGTGAGCAGCTAGTCTGAGTCAAGCTACTTTCATTTCTTATTCATTATTAAATTGTTGCCCAGCAAGACACATACAGAAAGACAATCTTTGATGATATAAATGTGTGCTTTGCCTTAGACTTTAATGAAGCCTGTGGTGTTTATATAACCGCAGAATTTGGGCCATATTTTATTCTAACCTGATATAAAACAGGACGTTGTGTCAAACTTGGCAGAGCTGGAGAGGTGCCCCAGGGCAGGTGCAGGCACTATGCAGAGCACCTTCCTCGATGGGCATGTAATCAATGGTTCCAAGAGTGATGCATCAGGGCAGGGCAGGGGGACCAATGAGCTGGGGAATAAAGTGTCCAACTCCCATGGCAGATGGAGAACAGGGATGCAACCAGGTGGGCAATGAGGCTAAGGGGGCCCAACTAGAATGGTCTTAAGACATTGGCTCTGAGGACACAGAAGGACAGAGAAAGGATGTAAGGACAGGGAAATTAGATGGGAGTAAGAGTGAAGGAGTTCAGGCCTCAGTGGCAGTGCTTCTACTGTTGATGTATCCTTCAAGTCTGGTTAAGTCTGAGCTAATTGCTTACATAGAGGATGATACCCAAAAAACAGGTGATCATCCTTCGGGGCTCACAGAATCTAAATTTGAGGCCAACACACCAATGTAACAAAATGGACCCATCTGGTAAGGGACAATCTCATACACCAAACTAATAGGAATGGATATTGGATCATGCTGACCTTTAACTGTAGAATCATTAGCTAGTTCAGGTCAGATCCCAGCCTACTTGCTTCTCACCTGGCTATGGAGTTGCCAAGGCCTGTAGTCCTCTTCTGCACATCTCCGATCAAAAATGGACTTGTAGTCTATTTTCACCAGCTGCCACTCTGAGCGGTGGCTGAAATGTCCAAACACACTACAGGATGCAGCAGGAAGAACATACAGTAAAAGGGAGCATCTGATGGAGTCTGGTAGTTACAGAGTTATAGTTACTCATAATTTCCAACAGAGATCAATTGTTTCAGGAGTGACAGCACTACTCATTTTCACTTGACTGACATAGTGAAAATGAAACTTAGCCTACTAAATATCTACAACCATATTAAAAATTTCATTTAGCTTTTATTCTGCTCATCAAGACCCTCCCACTTTTGACAATACCCAGAAAGACTCTAGTTGAAGCAATGAGTCAAGAGAAGACTTGATGTGTGGCTGGAGACAGTAATACAGATAGGATTTTTATCTCTATTATAAGTTTTGAGAATTCCTTCCACACAAATTAAAATCAGAAACTGATGGGAACATTCTTTATACATCTCTATTAACTGAGTTTAGTTTCCAAGCCACACATTCTGCTTATTACAGGTCAGTCAGAAACTGAATTTTCCTCCTGTTTTTGCAAATCTGACCTCAGGTAAAATGACATAGTTTCTGGCACAGTGAGTCCAGATTTATGCATCGTGCAGAACTCAGCACACCACCTTGAAACTAAACATAATTTTTCGTGAGTCAGCCTCCAGGCAACATTTTGTCATTCATTTTTACAGAAGAATGTCTTCACTTTTCTGTGTCTCAGTTAAAAAAAAGAATGTAGCAGCAAAAACACAGTTATAAAAATACTTCACCATTTTTCTTTCAAATATTCATCTGTCAAGAGTAACTCTGCTTTATATCACATCCAATTTGAGGAGTCACATTTCATGCTGATAAGCTAAGTGATAATGTGTTTGCAGCTTGCAAGGAACCATGTTGGCATTCCCTCAATCATATCAGAAATAAACTGATGATTTAGCAACAGAAGACTGCACACTCCTGGCTTCAGTTAGTACTTGGTTTGGTCCCCAACCAGAAATGCTACTGTTATGTATAACCCTCATAAGATATTTAGTTCTCATGAACAACAGCATCATGGCATGCTCACTTACGTCATGATGAGAGTTTCTTCTCCAGGTTCCCCTAAAACTCCATCTACAAATAGTGGGAGGGATGTGAAACTGTACTTGCTCCAAGATCTCCCTTCATCAAAACTTAACCTGGAAGAGAAAGCAGAATTAGTGTCTTCTTTCCTTACTCTCCTACTTTACTTGAGGAGACTCTAGTACACTACAGATGCTATGGAGAAGTGAGAAGCAGCTTCTCTTTTTGGATAATGATTTTTCACTCCTTTCAATATTTATTTTTTTGGGGGAAGCATTATAAATCAGAGCATTGATCAGACATGTTTGGCATCATACCACTAACCCATGGCCAATATTTAAATGGTAGAAACTAATAGTTATGTTAGAGATTGATGCTTTAAGGACAAAATGTAGCCTAGGGATAAGACTTTTAAAAAAATAAACAAGTGATTTTGAGCATCCCATTTTTGGATCCTCAACATAAAACATTTTAAGGAGGTTAGTTTTCTGGAGCATGAGAGTTTTGACTCTTCAGACGAGCAGTCTTCCCAGTGTGAGTGTAAGCAAAAGCTTAGAACCACTCATCATTTGTTAAGACTTGGGTCTGTGTGTTTTGATATGACACTGCCTGTAGTGGAATTAAATAATGCAAACCAGCAAAAAACTGTATTCTATCTCCTAAACTCAAGAGTGCTAACTATCGAGGACACTTCTGCCTTATTGGCTACATAATCCTGAATCTATTCAAGAAAATTCTGGTTCACAAGTGCTGCCTGACACACAGAAGACAAATTAATCAATAATTTTGAAACTAAAGAGTACTTTATTAACTCATTAAGAGACAAAGGCATAAACCATGTACATATTTTATAAACAATCAGACTCAAGAAGCCAAGCTGTGGTAAACTAGGAGTGTTAAGTAAAGTGGAACTGCCAGGACTTCTTAGCTTTATCTGAGTTAATGTTTGCCAATAGCTGAACTAATATTGTCTAGATTATAGCTACAGAAAACTGGATGCCTTTTAACTACCTACTTTCTGCATCTGAAAAGAGGGAGAACAGATATTTAGGACAGAAGGAGTCATTACCAGAGGTGTCTGATAGGCAGAGATGTGTGTTTCATTGCGACAAGTACTCCACCTTGATCCAGGTATAGAACACTGTGCTCTTCCTCAAAGATCTGGACAAAAAAGTATCTATTTAAATCTATTATTCTTATTATCAAGAAAGTGGCATAGTTTTTTAAGTATGATAATGATAGAGGACAGGTACATGCTAATGAAGTCATGAATTAGAGGAAATTAGCGAGAAAGTTTCTGGATTCTGTTTTTTATTGTTTGGGTTGTTTTGGGTTTTTTTCTCCAGTTTTCCCAGGTTTTTAGAAAATGCATTCTGCTTCTCACAGAAAGTTAGAAACATGTTTTTTTTGCAAGGATCAACAATTTCCTATCTTTCAATGACAAATTTTTGTTTAAAGAAGAATTTCATGTGTTTGCACATATCTGGCCTTATCTCACATAATTGATGTAGACAGAAAAATGAGGGCTGGTCAAACATTGCAAAGTAATTAGATTTTTGGAATATCAAATATTTGAAAAGATTTTCTTTTCCTTTGTCTTTTTTTGTATTAACTCTCTGCAAACATCTGCCCTCCGGTCTATATAGCAGCATTTGTCAGTCTGAGAAAGCCATTCTTTCTCTGCATGACTTGATATCCCATTCAAAAAATAGGAGTAATGGAATTTCCTGATCTGAGGATAAACACATTACAGCATATTTCTTAACAAGTGGGACTCCACTAAATACTAGGAACTTTAACTTCAACATTCAGTCTCTTTCCACAATTAAAGAAGAGATGGCTTTATGAAGGTAGCTTTAACAAAGTGAACTTAATTCTGTCTTTTTCTCCATTAGTTTAAGAACAAGGCAAAATAACCTGTTTATATGGACAGTGAACTTTGGACAACTCAGCGCAGGTGCAATGAATCCCATATGGAGTGAGGAAAAGTAGACCAGTTTTTATAATCATGGATGAAGAGAAAAATGGTTTGATTGGTACAAGGGATGTACAACATTAAAAGGCAACACATTCTCTCCCCTTAATATCCATAATTTATGCTGTTCTCTTTGCCACGGGGTTAAACTGAAGTCAAACTCTGAGTAGAACTACAAAAATAATTTTCTGTAATATGAAGTCTAACAACATAGTCTTTTTCTTTAAGCATTTCTGTGCCTTTCAGAAGCAGTTTACTCTTTTGTAAAGATTTGCAAATGAAACAAAAATAAAGTGACAGATTGAATCTACTTTAATGACAATTTCCAATGATTAATACTTAAACCTGTGATTCTGTGTCTCTTACCTGCCTCCAAGTGTTCCCAGCATCAGAAGTAACAAACATGCTGATGTCATTGTCTGATAGTTCAGTGCCTATATTACCTGTAAGAAGATCATTAGTTAGTGATGGAACACTCTCAGAAACACTAGAACTACCAAATCAGGAGAGTAAAAGTGTTTATTCACCTTTTGTAATTACAGAACTTCTAGTTTTGGGAGGATAATGAGGGAAAAGGAAAGGGGGAAGGGTAGGGGGAAGGGGAAAGCGGGGAAAAGAAAGGGGAAAAGAGGAGGGAAGGGGATTTCAGTTTGAAGAAAAAATATATATAAGACCAAACGCATACAACTCTATACACCTCCAACTCAAACAAAATGCCCTGATTTGAGTCTTATGTTCCCAGGTGTAGAGGACTGGACGTGATCTCCCTGGTCTTGAAGGCCAGTTTCCATGAAAAACCATATGACAAGTTGAAGGTCCATAAGGACTTTGATTTGATAGCCAGCCTTCTTTCCCAATACTGGTGGTATGACACCCCACAACCACTCAACACACTCTACAAAATTCACATTTTGTCAACGTTTGCACATCACTCACAGGAAATCTTTAAACATTTCATACCTGAAGCTACAATAATACTGGGGGCAGTGTCTCGGCTGGCGATGTTTCCTGAGGTGTAGGGGTTGTCTGAGACCTTCAAGTGAAGATGAAGGGAGCAATAGGGCTATGGAGAAAGGGGAAATAAAAGTAAAAAGCAGATCCAACCATGCATGCACCTATTTCTACAGGCTTAGAAACACAGAGTGTCCTTCTGTATTTCATCCTAATCATTGCATTCAATCACTCTTAGAAAGAAACAGTCACTTGGCTATCATTTTGTGACACAACCTGTTCCCACTGGGAAATGGATTCACCAGGCTGAAACTCTCTCCCAAGGACAAGATCTTTGAGGTTGTACCCTCAAAGGAGGGAACCAGGCTTGCAAGGGTAGGTGGTGACAGGGACTACCCAGCTCTTCTGACTCCTACCTCTGCGAGAAGCAAACAAGGATGCAGGTATAAAATGACTCTCCAAGCAGCAGTGCCCAAGCTATCTCTGCAACAAGAAGTAACATAACCCTATCGGTGTGACGCTGATTCACCACTTATTAGTCAGGAAAAACAACCATTTGTTGACCATTTTTGACACTTTCTTTTTGAATTGCACTGCACTGCAATAAGTACAAAGAAATATCAAGACTGGAAAGTGTTAGTTTAAAAGTTATTTAAAACAATGCTTCATCACCCATCTGGATGTGACCTTTAAGATTTCAATACAAATACACCCATGGAAACCTCACCTATTTTCTATTGATTTTGTATGCTGGGTACTCAGAGAAGACAGGAATGATACAGAATAAATCAGTTGAGCAAGACAGTAAGTCAGACAGGCAGATTTCTAAAACTGTCATTACAATTCCCTCCAAATCTGCAGTGTCATAATTTCTGAAATAATTCCTAATAATTATTTCCTTTGCCTGGGTTTTATTTTCTGTATTTTTTCTGCCAAACCTCATGAGGACCCTTTCATGAAACATGCTAAGGGAAGAGATGGGGAAAAAATACTGGAAAGTAAACCTAAAGCAAACTGACCCAGTCAAGGTGGACATCACACAGGAATACAACTAGAACAAAGCCCATGCTACAGCTTGCCCAGCTCTGTAAGATGAGAAGGAGAGGTCATGTAGAAGGGCCTTCAGACTCTAAGGAGGCAGGTTTTTCCGTCTAATACCAGCTGCCTAAAGGCTAGATCTGCATCCCCAAGAGTCTGGCAGGCACCCCCTGCAGGAGACCTAGTCCCATAGGTCACTGGAGGAAGACCACTTATCCATCCCATCTCAGAGCAGGTGACTATGACTCTGAAACGAAAATTCCCCTGTGGAAAACAGCAGAATTCTTTTGGCAAAGGCAAATGAGGGTGGTAAGGAGGGATGGGAGCTCTCACTTATGTGAAACAGGAAAAGGGGACATGGTTTGTGCAGAAGGGAACACAATCTGCCAAGTGGAATGTACTGAGCAGCCTAACTCTAACTGACAGCCTTGCGAGGGCAGCCGCTGGAGCAGCCCGGGGGCGCCGGGAGGGAGTGGATAACAAATTGAGCTGACATGAATGCAGGAAGTGGAAAAGCATTGCAAGAGCATGAGTTCTTTCCTTTTACATTTTTATCAGCTGTGAGAAGACTAAATAGAGAACATATTTTTAATATTCACATATTCCAAGCCCACTTCAGCGTTTTGAAGACAGAAGCAAATGGCAACTCAGCCTGTTCCCAACTCAGATGAGACCTTGTTAGACTCAAATAGTTGTGCTACCAGAGGTTTTCTTTCAAATTAGTCTCATTTCACAGATACAGAACATAAAAATGGAACATACATCTCAAATATTAAAATCCAGGCCATCTGTCTAAGTAGACAGATGATCTTTTCAGTGGCATGACTTCTTATTGGTTGGAGTGCAGTAATGCTTAGTCTCTAGTGACAACTGGGTATGGTGTAAAAACCAGCCTTTCTGCTCCTAGCCAAACACCTAAAATTACTGTCCATGGCCATCCCACATCCTCACTGTGTTAGCATTCTCTTCCTCATCTCTGATATACACCTTCTCCATCTCTGTCCTTACAGAGTTCATCAACAGGTATTTTTCCAGCTGGTTTGTGTTCCATCATGTTGATTCCTTTGTGTTCCTCCAGTAGCTCCCACAGCTTAATTCACATACAGACATCTCACTCTGTTTTTCAGAATTTTCATCATTTGTCTCTATCCCTTTTGTTGTTACCAACAAGCTACTGAAATCATTATTATCACCAGAAACAACAGCTTTGGGTTTCCCTATCATTGCCCAGTACCCAGCTGTGCTACCTGCAGCACCGCCACTAAGGGAAAGAAGACCACAGCTTGGAGTATTTAAAACCTAGGTGGAAGATAAAGCATAGGTGGCATAGCCCATTGCTCTGCTCACTGCCTTAGCTTTTACAATTCTGCTCGAGTTCATTACTGGCTTCCTAATATTTTCAAGCCAGAACTTTTATGTCCCCCTCTTTATGTTCTCCTCCATCCCTAGTAAGATTTCTCATAAATATGCAGAACCCCACTTCTTGGCTGTTCTGCAAAGCCCACCTGAACTGTCTCCAATGGCATAAAACACATAAACCAGTTACTAGTGGCTGTACCTGAGCAGAAGTGGGACAAAGTATTAAAACATAAGGATGATGCTGTACACCATTCCCAAACCTAGTCACTATATTTTCTCACCTGCAATAGCAAGGAGCAATGTAGAGAGATAAACACTTCCAAGAGAGCTATTCAAAACACCTCCCTTAGATGCTTAAACTACTCCATAGCAGATGGCATGAATGTATCCCCCTTACATAGAAGAGGGTCTTTGTCCTGAAATCCCTATAATCCATATGGACAAGACAAACAAAATGTGGGAAGCGAGACAGAGAGAAAATAAATGACTTGCCCAAGGTCACGTAGGAAATTGGAGATAGGCCTGCCTAAAAACTGAATCAAGATTCTCCTGCAATTCAGCCCAGTGTTTGAACCACCAGTCCATCCTTGAAAGCTAATTGATTAACTCTCCTGTGTAGATGCCCATTTCTTATCAGACAGAATTACTCCTCAGCTAACCACTTCACAACACATGATAAGTATCAAACTAAACCGGCATCTTTTGGATAAAATATATTGGCAGCTATTTTATGAAGATTAAGTGTTATTCATCTTAGAAAACAAGTGGTATAAGCAAGAAAAACAAAACCTTGGGATTAGATGAAATTTCATTGCTTTCCTCCATCCTCATTATTCAGAGCTGTCTCAAAAAAAAACAAAAAAGTAAAGAAGTTCTGAGTCGCTTTGAAAAAACCACCTTGAGCGAACTGTCAGTAGAGGGAGGGTTCTGTCTGGTTCATCTTGTGCTTCAACCAGATTCCCTCTTAACCGCCCTAGCTGCCAACTTAGCTGCTATGTACTTATTCCTGGTTTAACTCTCACTGAGTTTAGGTTTAAAGACCAGCTGCACAGAGGACACAGCAGGCTGAGAACCATCCTGTCACTCTGGGAAACGGCAGATCCCATTCTAACAACTCTCTGGAACATATGGTCATTGTTGTGTCCTGAGCTAGTGCTAGAGACATTTATCAGAAAACCAGCAGTGGGAAAGCATTAGTATCTGCCATGGTGCAAGGATGGGATCTAGGCTAGATATACAAGGGACTATTAAGAATTCACATAGCTATGCCACAAGGAAAAGCAGGATCTGTCTTGCCAGCCCCCTAAAATATTATACTGTCATATCATATAAGAAAAATCTTGTGTGTCTGATAAAATTAGTTATAATTTGAAAAGGTCAAGGTATGGGGTTTTTATGAAATATGTTCATTTGAGGTAAAACTAGATTTACAATCTATTTGAAACACAATGGCTTCTTTACATAGTCTCTTCCAGAAAATTACATTGTTTTACATCTGCAAAGTTTTCTGAATGTCATCTTCTTTGGTTTTTACCTCATTCAAAGATCTAATTAAAAATGCACATAGTTACAATTTTTAAAAACTTGAGAGAAGAACACCAACCCAAACAAATTTAGTCATGCTCTGAAATAACTCTTCTGTCTGACCCCTAGTCCTCCCTATTTATTTTTTCCAAACTGGACAGAAAATACAAGGCTTGCATTTTGGCTTAATCAAAAAATCAATTATTTGAACAGCTTCAAATATTTATTCTTTGCTCTTGCAGTAGCGCATGATATTCATTTAAGAGATTAGTGTAGCATTCGACTACAAAATGTAATTCTGATTCAGATTCTAACAGTCTCAAAATGAAAAACTTTTTCTCTTCTGGTTTTTTTTTGGGTGGTTTTTTTGTTGTTGTTGTTGTTGTTGTTGTTGTTTTGTTTTGGGTTTTGTTTGTTTGTTTTTTTTTGATGGAAAGCAACATTCAGGTACAGGACAGAAGGAGGAAGAGTTGTCCAAATAGTGTCCCTGCCTCTGCCTGGAAAAATGTTAGAATTTGTGTAATATGAAAGCTATTGAGAATCCCAATACAGGGGTTCTGAGTATTATCCCACTCCTGAGTATAGATCGCACTGGCTGAAAAATACGTCAAGATAAGTCTAAGTTTTCTAATTTGATACAGATCTCCAATTATATTCACATTGCTTATATTTCACTTTCCCTCTTGGAAACTGTTTGCATATAATGATGATTAAAGACTTAAATATATGTGTATCTATATCAATAAGTACAAAGACAGATACAATTTACATCAACATAAAGCTATATATATATTTGGATGAATATGTCAATTCTCACTTCTGAGCTCAAAGAGAAAATGATATATGTTAATAAATATTAATGCCAACAGAGCGGCCTGAAAGAAATCAGAGATCTATTTTCCTTTGTGCCTGTCTATAGTTATTAGATGCCTTGAAATTCCTGAGCTACAACAGCTCACGCCTCCCATCTAGTGTCCAGAGAATCAACTGCGCAGACACGGCATCCAGTTCACCTGCTGTTTAAGGGGACACCATTAGCTGTGCAGAAGGAAGCTGATCCACGATGCTTACTTCTGCTCCAGAAATTAAAATAAATTAAGATAAATTACAATGCCACGTCTTGCAACACCTACCCCCTGGTAGCCCCAGCCTGACGTACTGCACTCCATGAGACACACTGCATGGAGAGGGGAGGGGAGCTACCCTTTCTTTCTTGGGTTACCTGGTAGGAAAATGTTATTCTGGATATTACCATGCCCCCAAGCTTCCCCCTCAGGTACTTACTAGGAGACAGTGAATGGGATTTCCTCTCAGATCCGTGTGCGGAGCCTGCAACAAACTCCAGTCTCTCCCTTTATTGTAGGTGATGAAAGTTTTCACTTGGTTGTCAATCTTCTTGTTAGCCAAGAACATTCCCTTTATCCCTGCTACCTAGGAAAAATTGACATGGCTGAAAAATAGATCAAGTCCATGCAGGTTCTGTGCATGTGTCCCTCTTTCCCCGTCAAACCCAACAGGGCTCTCGTGGATGTGTCAGTGTTGTCAATGTCAGGGTAAGAATTCTCAAGGTACATCACAGGAAGACAAGTGGAGGTGCTAGAGAGAAGCTAAAATCATCACAGGTGCAAAGGTGACAAATGGGAAAGAAAGCTTGTATTTCAGAGTCATCATGAGAGCACAGTAAGAATGTCACTGTAAAGTGTCACTGTAAAGCGACAATCTCTCAACTGTGTGGGCATCCTTCCCCTGAAAGATGAAATATGTACAGGGCAATTAGTTGTCTCTTGCTGTACAGTAGCTGGACACAGTGGCAATTTTGAGTTTGCAAAGAAAACAGCAACACACACACAAAAACTTGCAGTTCAGTGCTTCTATTCCTGTTCAGCCTTCTTCAGACATTTCCTCCAAGGATCCCAGTGTGCTTCATAATTATGAGTTTTTCAATGGGATAACCTGGGGCGCAGATGTGTTTTTATTGTGGTTTTGTATTTTGAGGAAACCAAAGCACTGGTGACTCAAGCAAGGCCACCCAGAATGCTAGTTGTAGAGCTAGCAATGAGATCCTCAACTTTTTATTTTTCCCAGTGTTTTACCCAACAGTTTCAATCCATAAACCTGCAGGAGGATTTTGTAAAGACAAGATGCTAACAGATTCACATTGGAAACAAGCCCAAAAGTATCTTAGTGGGGAGAAAAAAAGTCAGCCTCAAACCACAACTCACACTGCAGAATGTTCCCATCTTCTCAGCACACTGAAAATCAATAGCCCAATAGCTCCTGCAGCTTGCGAATGAATTTTTTAGGCTGTCATTCTGCAATCTGAGTGCAGCAATAAAAAGGGAAGTGAAATCAGGAGAAGGAGAGGGAAAGTGAGAAACTTTTTGGTTTCCAGCAAGTCTGTTCAGTCATCCACCTCATTTCTTCTTATGATGTAGAACCAGCAGACAGAATCATTCATCAAGACTTTTTATTCATAGAGATTATTACTTAAATGGCATCACATGGGAAACGGTTACACAGCAGATTCAGAGCTTTTTCCAGCTCAACTGATTTAATTACATGGATGGATTTGGTTGCTACAGTGAACAGGACCTTACTGCACTTTTAGTCACATGCTGTGAGACTACTAGTGTACAGTGCTTTTGTACAGAATATTGATGTACTTAGTCATTTGCAATAGTACCCTCCTGCCTGAGCAATGGCACTGAATTTCACTTGAAGTTGCACAAAGACTTTGACATGACTTGCTATAACGGGTGATAGTTGTTAAATTAGGTAGTTAAGTAATTTATTGTTGATATAATCAAAAAAAAAAAAAGATAACCTTTTCAATTTCTTTGCTGGATTTTTTTTTTCCTACCCAATTAAGTATTCTGGATTTCTTTGTCACAGTAGAAAGGCACCCTGAAAAGACAAGGATACTCTGTCACCCAGTGATATTGCATGAATAGACAGGGCTGGAAAAATAACATAGTTCTGTCTTTACTACCAGAGGCTAGAGCCTATATTCCATTTGTACTTTGCTTTGTTGTTGTCCTGAAATAGTTCTATTATATAGTCCCTGTGAAATGCTGGCCATAAATGATTAAAGAGCGTTTTATATATCAGGTGATAAATGTGTTCTGAAATCCTGTGAATTTTTCTTTTTATGATTCTAGTCATGGGCTGGAACTCAGAATCCTTTTCTGAGAAAGAAAAGTTATGTTATACTGTCAGTCTTAGATAGCTTTATCTTGAAAAAAGACTGCACACACTATACGTGGTTGTGTGCTCTCAGTAGGAAGGGATACACCTACTGCATAGACACAGCCATGACACACACAGGTCATCCCTGCTGTTCACAACAGAGAAAGACCCATGTAAGGAGTGCGTGACCACCAGTGGTCAGAGAGAAGAGCACTCCATCAGCTCCCACACAGGAACTGTAGACAACCCTCACCACTCTGAATGCATTGTGTGCAGACACAAATGTTGGTCTACACTCCCAGAAAGATTCATGCAAGACACTTGGAACGTACAACTCAAATGACATTCCTCACTCTCCATCACCGCCTTCATACATCAAACATATACTCCTCAGCCAAGATACATACTGCTATAAGAAAACAAGTCCTAGAGTAATAGTCATATACACCATAGCTATAGACACATATTCTCATAGTTATCACTTCAGTCCTGGATTCCCACAGGCAGAACTGTCTTGCTGTGGACCAGTCCAACAGAGCCATACCACATCACTGGAGAGACACAGGAAACAGAAAGGGTACTCAGACCCAGTGGTCAGTGATTTTAGCTCTTCCTTTACTCTAGAAGATGGCCTCTAGGACAGCCTTTTTGTGAAAAGAACTCTGGGAGACACCAAGAAACAATTTTTATTTTGCCTTTGTACCCAGTGCAATTCCCTGTTAATCAGCATTGAGCAGATTAATCCTTGACCTAGAATCAGTTTAGGAATTACACACACAAACATGTTCACTACAATGCAACCAGAAGATCTTCCTTCTAACATCCGACAAACATGCATACAGACACATGCACACTAAACAGGCCTTTCTCTGGCATCTTCTCAAATAATCGTTCTTTTTTAAACATGCTGCTACCACCACATAAGGACTCATTTTAAAATATCTCTACTTCCTTTTAATTTATCCATGGATTTTTTCTTCTCTTGTCTTCATCTCCATTTACCCCTAGAGCACTCATCTTCTGCAATAATCTGACTTGGAAAACCACGTTGGCTGGCTTTGTGTTCCCTTCCAGCTAGAACATCAGATTGAAAGGAAGGTTTGTGCCAGGTTCCATGTCAGCCAATATTCCTTCTATCTAGATAATCAGCAGATATGACACTAAAACTCTGATTCCATCAATTTCAATCCAGGTTACTGTGTGGTATCAGCTGAATAAAACAAAGCAAAAGCTTTTCTTCCCCCTCTGGGATGTAGGACACCTTTACATAATTCAGTAAAACCGCTTCCTGAGCTGACAGTAATAAGAGGCAACAGTTTTACCATGGGCTGCCAGTGCTGCAGAGAGATTAATAGTAAAAAAATGTCCAAATGACTGAAATGGCAGTGCCCATCCTCCTACAGTTCATCTGCACTGATATACAGCACTTGGGCTCTCTGGATAATTCAAGGTGGTTTCCAAGTAAAGAGCAGCTGAAGGAAAACTATATAGCAGAACCAGTACTCAGGCAGTGATGGGGAAATATGGGAAGCATCTTCCTTTTCAAAGGTACTCATATCTAGTTCATGACTTTTATTCTAAATGGTCAGAAAATACCCTGAAAAAGATCTTAAAAGAGAAACTGACGCTCAAAACAGCAGCTGAGGAATTTCTCATTAGCTGAGTGCTGTCTCCAGAGGTAAAAGATGGGCAGCAGGGCAAGAGATGTACAAGGGCACATTAAAAGTCCTATTCTTAGGATCAGTTGTCATAGAAGATAATGTAAATTGGCCTTTTTACAGGTGAGCTTAAGCAGAACACACTTGTTCAGGGAAAGTCTCAAGAATAAAGAGGGCACTAAAAAGAGGCAGGAGAGCTTTCATGCTCAAGGGATAGCCCAAGAGGGCATATCTACAATTACTTAACTTTCCAGGATAGTCCGAGCTGAGAAAGGCGACAAAGAGAGCTGAAAACTGCTGTCTCTGCTTAACTTATAAAACAAGTGGTTGGACTGTCAGAAATGCAAACAATTTAGAGAAGGATGCTATTCAGACTGTTGGGAGCTTTCAGAGTCAGAGAGACAATGTGGGTCCAAGCTGATACTGTGGGGCCAAGTATTTTGGCTGAGAAACAAAGAGTTCCTCTTAGCAAGTGAATGGGCTACTCCAATATATTTTCCCATGCATGAAAGAGCCATGAGCTCTTCCTCACCTGAGAATCCTCTGGTGAATACAGCAGTGAATCCCTTCATAATATTAAGCAGGACCTAAATTCAACTCATGTGTAAAATCTGGACTTAAAACTCAGCTGATTGCACACAGGCCTGTAAGTAAAAGGAGGGTAAAGCTAAGTATTTAATCACTCGTTGGCTTTGCTGTTCACATGCATATTACAAGACTGATGTACAAGGAGGAAATGGTACTGGCACCATGTGAGCTCCTGAGATAGAAATGAGATGTTTGGAGTTATGACATACCTCATAGAGGTCAATCATCACATTCCCCTCCAGCCCTTGACTACTCTTGACATTTTCTAAGGCCAGGGTGAAGTAGATCCCTCGGGTGTCGGAGATGTACAGATTGTACGTGTCGTTCTGGTTCCACTCTTGTACAGCTGCAAACACCTGATTCTCATCTGTGCTGATAACATGCATGTCCTGGGGAAAGAAAAGAGAGGGAGGTTACTAGAGGGAGCTCTGAGCTGTCATTTCCAAGGGCACCAAATTGTGGAGGAGCAAGGGATAAATTTAGGTTGGAGTTTAATCGGAAACTGTAGACAATACTGCTGTAAACCAGTCATTCCATCTAGGAATATTTTACACCAGCTCTCTTCTGCCAGTTTTCAAAGCAGTAATTAACTGTTGAGGTGTTAATTGAACATTTACATTGGTAGTAGCACTTTCGCTCCCCTTATCAACACATTCATTTCAATGAAAATACTTTGAGGGCTAGGAAGGGTTGCTAATTAGGTGTTTGTTTATTTTTTTCTTTTGGCACCTGAGTGTTTTCACTGGTGATTGTGGAATCAGAGATACTAAAAATGTTAAAAAAAAAAAAAAAAAGAAAAAAAGGAGCATCTGAAACATCTACTTCTCCCCCAGCATTCAGAAGCCAAGTATGCTTGGGACCTGATACAAGGAGGTTCAAATGGGTTAATGTCTGCAGCCAGTGCTGCTGTTATCTACTGTTTCTAATGACAGTGTGGACCTGAGCCAGGGCCCTGGACCACAGTACTAACCACCACACCCCAAGAAATTTAACAGAAAAACAACCCTAATTCTCACCAGATGTAAAGAAGAGAACTGTAATTAGATCATTAGTGTTATGAGTGAGGTTTTGTTTTACTATGTTTGTTCCATGTGTTACAGGAGCCAGAAAACAATGAAAAGAATGCATAATTAAAGAAAAGAAATTAAAAAACCATTAAACCTGATTACGTATTTCAATGCCTGGAGAAATTATTACCCAGTGGAAAAAGCCACCAAAGAGAGATTGTTATAATGAAATTCCCAGGCTCTATCTGCCCAGCACAGGCACCCTGAATTCTTTGGTGCCATAAAAATCTATTGAGGTAGGAAAAGAAATGAAGATTTCTTAGTACCAGGTGATTCTCTGAAGACTCAGCTGTTCTGTCTGGTTTGGACAGATATCCCAAAGTTATTCTGCTTCCATGAATCTCAGCCGGGACTTTTCTATATGCAAAACTGGGAACCTTATCAGAAAATATACTCTTTGGAAGCTGATGCTACTTTTTCCTTCTGTTAATAATATTCTTTGAAAATTCACTGTCTTGTGGATTTCTAGGGAGAATTAATAATTCTAGATATAACCTTGTAATGTAAAGATAAAATAATAACACAATGAAGAAATTTAATCTATAAATTTGAAAGCAGATTCACCACAGAGTTAAGATTCAGAATAGTTGTTTGTTCACCCAGATCCAGGTCTGAATACAGAGTGGATGAATATGCACTTGATTTACTTGCTTCTCTGCACTGGAGAAAATCATATCCCAGAAAATGGGCTCATTTTGTGGAAGAACAGATTGGTTTAATTCCTGAGGCAATAGGAAAGGTAATCGAAGTCCCACTGCCTTCTACTAGTCTTGGCTGTGAATAGACATCCTCTTGTAGCTCCAGCTGTGCTAGTAGAAGTTACAGCCACAGCTGCTTTTCTGAGGCTCCTTATTTCAGACTGTCACCCTGGTGAATCTGCTGGGAGATCTACATCAGTAGGCGTTCCCAGTGTGCTTCAGGCAACATTGCCTAGCACAGCTCTGATCTCAAGTTTTAACTCCTGCGTATGTGCGCACATGGGCAGGACCCCCTATTTAAACAGATTATAAGTAACATTTGTTTTCTCTGGTGAATGTACTGTGTCATTAACTTATCATTTCAATTAATAGTTTTGTAACAACTAGGGGAGAGGGGTAAAAAGATACTTTCATCAACACCAGAGAAAATTACATGCAATTTTATGAATGCTTAAGAAGCAAACAAGTTAATTTATTCACTAGATGCTTCTTGGATTTATCAGATCATGCTGTAAGATCAATGTCTAAGGAAGATTCCAGTAAGACTGAAGGAATTTTAGCCTGGGAAAGCAGTGAGAGACTGAACTGGCATGATATACATAGTGCAGAAAGTCAAGAAAGACAGTGTTCCAACTGTGTGCCTTTGGTGATAAATTTTCCTCTTAACTTTTCCTCTTTATATGTCCTTGTCCAATAGATGCAGCAATGATGCAAAGCTTTGATAGAAGAGGATCAGTATATGGGCATCAAACAGGTCTTTGACCAACATCAGGAATTTTTCATTTCCACACTGGAAAAATTAAATTCAATCAGCATATAATATTCTTTTTTTTCTTTTTTTTTCTTTTCTTTTTTTTCAGGGTGGGAGTTGATTTTTTGGGGGATAAAATAATACAAAACAACTTAATATGGAACAAGCTCCCTACAGAGACCTGAAGAGGAGAGGAATGTGAAGTAAGGCACCTTTCTCAAACAGTTGTCATCATCTTCAGGGTCTCTCCAGGCTTCTGTCTAATAAAGGCCTGAGCTTTTTTCTCTCTGTTAAAGCATATACCAGAAGTAAATTCATATACAGTTCTACTCTCTGTCTTTTTTGCCTTTCCAAAAACAAAAGTAACAGGACGATGCTGTACATTGGTTTGATCAGGTGTCTACTCTAATGACCAAAGGCCAAGGCTTTCTGAATTATGGAACATGATTCAATTGCCCTTTTTGCACTTGGTCAGGGAACTTTTCTTCCTGGCAAGTTAAACGGTAGGAATGTGTAATGCCAGTTTTATTCTGTGAGTTACTGGGATTGTCAGCTCTTTTAAGGTATGTATTTAAGATTTTGGGTTTGGGTCTTTTTTTGTTGTTATTGCTTCTTCTGTCAGGATGTGCATCCTGAGGCTGAAAGAAGACGATGAATTTAAAACAGAGGTACCACATGCACCCATCCCATCGCTATTCAACCCAATATCAGTTAAGACAGGTCTTTTTAAAAGAGAAATTGCTTGGCTTGCTTCAGTATTCCCAGATGTCTGCCCAGTGCATTGGTCTAAACTGGAATCAATGTACCCTGAGCGTACATTTAAGGTGATTATCATAAATGACACCACGGTCTGTGACAGAACCCATATTGTGGCACTGTGGTGCAGAACAGGCAGCATCAATCGACAGATCAATGTCACTGCAAAAATTACCAGGTCTCAATAAAGACTATTTAGGGGGTTAACAAAACCTGTACGCACATACGGAGGTATCTGCTTGTGAGGAACAGTGTTTCAAGTTCATTTAGGCTTTTAATTAAACCAACTACCAGGCTGTTAATGTCAACAAGAATAATATTTGAGTTTTGATGTGCTGTAGGCCATCCTGCCTGAGCAGCAGCATCACCTGCCAAAGCTGCCTGCAGCCACACGCCTCCAGTTTAGGAAGAGTGACACGATGAGACAAAAAGCTTGATATTTCCGTCTTCAATTCCAGAAGTCACTTAGTACTGTTTACCATATTTGGCCTCTCTTTCTTAGCTGAAGGAGATGAAAGAGAATTTGGGCATAAAAGAAGCTGTTTGTTTAAATTCCTTGAATAATATAACTCTGCGCATTTTTCATAAAAGTGACTATCTTGCTTTGATAGCAGCCTGCTAGACAGCCACTGTAGTTCTTTCCAAGTCAAATGTAGCACTTCTGTCTTTGAAGATATTCCAAGATTGTGATAAAGCATCTTTCTTTGGGTCAAATAACATGAATGTATTGCTCCAATTCCTATTATCTGAGAACACATTGTAATTTAATTGTAGTACATTTTCCCCAGCTCTCCAGAGGTCTGTTTAAGAAGGTGGACTGAAAAGTAAGTGTGGGCTAAAGGAAACAATAAGTTTAAAGCAAATAGTCTCTCTAAATATGATTTGAATCATTTTAAATGAGAATTTTTATTTGGGTTTTACAATAACCATTCTAAAATTCAACTCCTTTGCTAAAGGCTCCTTCAAATAACACCTGTTTAGATTTGACCTGAATTGACAAGAGTAATTTCTTCCTGCTTGGACAGGAATTTTCAAACCAACTAATCTTTAAATGTGACTGAAAATTTTGAGGCAGACCATAGGTCTCCTGTGTCAGAGCTAAGATCTCATGGCTTCTGCTATGGTCCTCAATGTCCTGTAAGCTGGTTTCTCAGGTGATGTAAACAGAAGCAAAGGCTACAACAGCAGAGTAGGTAAGGTATGGCATTGAAGGCCTGGGTTTGAGCTGCAGTCTGTTTATATGAAGGTCACCCAGTCATAAAAACAGGTCGTTTGGGTTGAGGAATCACAGTCAGCTGTGATATTAGCCGAGATATCCCTTTGAATATTTCCACCTACAAAATCTGGTGCAATTTCAACTCCTAGGAATGACTGACCTTGCACTTACTTTTTTTTCCTTTTGACAATCCTCGCTTAATTTCTGGGAGTGCATTTGTCTTCAGATGTTAGACCTCATATAGAATCCACAAGATCATATGCTACATTTGAGCTTAAATTTCATTTAAGGCAGACTATATTAAAAATGAGAAGGAAAAAAGAAATCCTATTTTTGTTAAGAAGCCATTAGGACCTCAGCTGCAAAATGGTGGTTTCTTGAAAATGGAGCTAACATTTTTTTATAGGTCTTTTAAACAACTCAGCTCCAGAAGGCAGAAATACCCTTTCAAGCTCCAATGCTAATTCACCATTGTTCTTAATTAGGGAAGATACAAAGTAGACGCACAGAGACATCTCTTTGCTTGGTTCCCATTAAAAGCTGCTAATGAGGCAAGCACAAAAAGAAACTCACACAAAATAGGGACAGGAAAGGGGAATTTTGAGACCAGGAAGAGAAATGTAAGTATCTGTAGATTCATATGGGCATTCCAGCAGTGTCAACCTACCTTGGGTAAGGAGTACTTTGGCAGCTTCATCTGTGCAAATGTGTTCCTCCTATAAGAAACGTAATAATGTGGTCTTCCTCCTGATGTCAGCTATGAGAGAAGCAGGAAAGATATTATCAGGTTTTTCTTATTATTTCTTTTATCATCATGGAGAATATCAAACAAAAGCTATTAAGAGAAATACCACAGTGTGGTAGCAATGGCTTAAAACTGCAGTGCCGTTACAGGTGATGGATAAACATTGATCCAGCTGACAGTGGCTGAAAAATAAGACAAGAGGAATCCCAATTTCAGCAAGGAGAGATAAAGGTCAGAATTTCATGTGAAAACCTAGGGAAACTGAAGTCCTGACTTCACTTGAGCCATGGAGTCAGATGCTGATACCAGAGCTCTCCTCTGCCTTTCCACAAAACTGTCTGTTCTTTGCTATCTGCAGAGCTGCCATGAAGCTGTTGGTTGGATCAGCAGACTGGCAGACATGAGGCTTGACTTCTATTTCTGCTTCCAGCTTTGGTTCCTGTGTGATCATGTACAAGCCATCATTAGATGAACGAGATGAACTAAGCATTCAGAGATATGAAGGGCCAGGAGAAGCTCCATGGATTCTGCATTTCTGTGAATCTGACCATTTATTTAAATACATAAATACTGATGGCAAGACCTCAGAAATGTGTTAGATAAAAGTGAGGTATCAATTTTTACCACCTATTAAAGGAGGGAAAATGAAAGAAAAAAGTAAAAAGTTGACAATTTTATCTGGCTTCCAGTGCTGCTGAAATATAATCAATGTTTGTAAAGTACTTGGAAATCCTTGGACAGAAGATGTTGAAGAACAAATATTTCAAAGGATTCTCCATGCAGAACTTTCCTTTAATTGCTTGATGCCTGAGCTTATCAAGACTTTCCTTTAGTAGTAGGTGTTTTACAATGCACTGCAGTAGTTTAAAATGCATGATACACAGAGGCTAAGTTCATACCAGATTAAGTAAAATAAGCGTTATTTCTCATTCTAAAACAATTCAACATTTTTTTTAGGAGAACTGGGCAAAAGTTAGGGGAAGGAATGCCAGAAGTATTCTTTTGTGAGAGACTGTGAGTTTGTAAATAAAACACAGTTTAGTGGGAAAATAAACTCCCTTTCCCTTATCCTAGTGCTTTTAAGCCTAATAATTCTCATTCCAAATGTTTTAGTTCAGAAAAGCTAGATTGAGATCAAGGAAGGTAGGGAAGGTTAGAAGAGGGTGTTCATCTACTCTTCCAGGCATATACAGACTGGTCTAAGGTTATTCCTCCTTTGAAGAACAGTGCCTGGGTTAACATAGCGTCCAGCATCAGCCATGGTGCATTATTTAACAGGTCCTTGTCAGCCAGATACAAATGTAACCACTTGAAGAATCACATTTTAAATTACTAGCCAACAGTGAATTCCCTGACTACATCAAACAAAGCAGAAGTGTGTTCCAGGGATTACAATATTATTATTACGTACATCTAAGTGTCAATTATTAATGAGTGGCAAGTACTATCTCTTTGGCCTGTTATTTGTTTCAGAATCCTATGAAGTTTAAGAATTAAAATGGGACCAAATATTAAATCACGTCTTCACAAACTGTGTTACAAACATGAATACATGGAGTTGTGCAAAGTCCCACTGGGCATTAAGGAGAACATGGAAAGAGCTGCCTCTTTACATGCTCCTCCTTACACCATGAAGGGTAAAAATTTGACAGCACCAGGAACACTATACAGCAGTTTATGAAAAAGAAGGATAAACTCATCAAAATACAAGGGCTATCCAGGAAGGTAAACAATCTCCCCAGCATTGACTTCGGATAAAGCAAAGAGTTGGGCTCCTCTACACTGTATAATAATGTGAGGTCAGAACAGAGAAGACTAACAGTCTTGAAAAGCACAAACCCAAGGCATCAGTGATGAAGTAACAAAACAATTCGCATATGAAGAGAAATATTCCAGTGTCATTTGAGCCACAAACACACAGTCATTCTGAAATGGCTTAACAGTGATGCATGCCCCTGTTTCCCTGGCCACATAAACATTTAATTTTTGCCTCAAACACACTAGGTACAAAAGCTATTCTGGAACATGTCTCAGACTTATTTGTGGATAATTTAGACTGGTGTTTAAGACTGAGTTCATTGACTGAAGGCAACTAGCAATCAACTCACCCAATGTAAAATAACTTCCTTTCACACACAAGCATGCTAGAACGTAAATTGTCTGGAAGCCCAGTTTAGTCCTCATGATTTCCAGTTCACCTCCATGTTCCCCAAAACCCTGTTGTTAGTTTTGTCCTCTTCAGCTGACATTAAATGGACACTGGCAGCAGCCTAATGAAACCCACAGTGGTTCAAATCTATTCACCACTCCTCACCTGGAACACAGTTTGGCTGAGTACATCTCATCTTCAGCCTTTTCACTAGAATCACCACTGAGGCATAACAATAAAGCCTGATTACTCCTTTGGTGCTTTCTCTGACTCCCTCCCTCCTTTCCTATTTCCCTCTCATGCTCAAAAAGCTTTAGTCTACTCCCTTGTAATAGCAGATGACTGACACACCACTTCCAGCTGGGGGGTTAAAGCAGTAATTCCAGAGTGCTGATGAGATTGCAGGGAGTGGCACAGAGCACTCCAGTGTATATGGTGGATACTCCAGGCAGGAACTCTATGGCCCTACAGTGACAAGATACTAGAGGTAAAAGGAACATTATTAGCTTTGTAACAAACTGCTACAATCTACTCAGTGCCTTTATGGATTCAACACGCACATACATGTAAAGGAATACAAGAGAAAATAATATAATATAGAAGAATATAATATAAAATAATAGAAAAATAAGAGAAGAGGTGTTCTGCACCTGAACAAAGACATAATCACCCTGGACGATCAGGGAGTTATGGTCGATATAGCCTGGAAAGGGTTTGCTGCGAGTGGCTTCGCTGCAGTTCTGCATCTTGCAGGTGATGTATTGGGCATCTGAAAGGAAAAGAACAAAACAATTCACTTGAGATCCTGAGCACAGAGTCTTCCTGCTGTCATAAATCTATTTGCTGAGGCAGCATTTTTGCTTCCCAGACTCATGTGACATCATCCCTTCAACAGCACACAAAACTTCTTTCCCTTACATCTTTCACAAATCCAGCCTTGATTGTTTTCTTCCTTTAAGTTCCTTCCTTCTTTACCCACCTCAGCCTCCCATTATTTCTTTAATTTCTGCCCTAGATCAGACATCAAAGCTATACATTTTTACTAAGAGAGAGCCCAGTATAGATGATCTGATTACTCCATGCCACTGTTGTGGTTCTATGCTGGAAATAGACAAAACAGGCAGCACCTGAAGGTGGAACAGTGCAAAGGCTTTGTGGCTCAGATCTGACAGAAACCTAGTTAAGAGTGTATCATTCAGCACTGTTACCCCCACATAACAACAGCAGGAGCACGAATACATCACGAACAACCAATATGATTAAGCAATGTATCCTTTATTAAACACACAGTGTACATTTTTATACATCTTCGTACCCTTGTGGGTGCAGGATTAAAGTCTGGGGATTGGATAGCTCAGCCTGTCCACAAGTTCGTGTCTTATGCTCACTGGATAAGGTGTAGGGTCGATATTTTGCACCTGGATTCCAGCTCCCACCGTAACTTCTCATAACATGAAATAGCTGTTGATTATAAACCTATTCCATTCTCATGGGAAGTTAGCCTAAGTCCACAGCTGTCAACTATAAACCAAGTTTTCTTCCCATGGGAAGCCTGAGGCTTCTTTCACAGTTGGTAATATGGGTTGTTCACCAAGTGTCCATTTTCCTGCAAATATTCCACACTCACATGCTGCATTTACTTGGATGCTACCCAGGCTTAAGCTTAAAGCAGGAACTGAGTGAGGGAACAAGAGCTGCAAAGGACTATTTACTAAGGCAAAAAACAGCCCAAGTCCTGGGACTCCCTAAGTAACCGTGGGTCTGAAGAGTTGTGTCTTTAATTTGGGACAGATACCCATTGTGTTAAGCCTCAGCAGTTTCCCTTTCCCAAGTGTACCTTTGTCATCCCCACCGTGTGGGATTTGCTGCAGAGCACAACAGCTTCCCCACAGTCATGTACTGAGTTTATTTAGGACACGGTCAAGGTCCAGAGCATACACAAGCACGTGGACACCTTCTGAGGACTCGTACCCCATACTGTCACCAGAGAACCCCTTTCATAAAGCACCTTCATGTTTCCTACAGCACTTACATTCTGTAGAGTAATTCAGATCAACTTGGAAAGTAACTCAGACTACCTCCTGTTCAGGGGGTTTTACCTACTTCTCTGTTGACAATATAGGTAGATGCATTCTGGCAGACCTGAACAATCACTCCACATTCTCTTGAAACCAGAGGCCTTGGCAGTTTCAAAATCAATGGTCTAAATACAGCCATCAATGCAAGCCATATCATCTACTGTCACTATATGGGACGTCCTCATCTCCTATTCTGAAGTACTGCAAGGTGCTCATCTCATAATCTATCAATTGAAGAAAAACAATTTGAATTTTTTCATGAAGGTAATTTATCCTAGAACACAGAACCAGATTCTCAGTATTTAATTTGGAGTCTTTCAGATCCATTAGGATTTTGCACTTCATTTAATGACAAACCTGATCTACAGGAGGAACAACTTTGGCATTTTAGCAGTACTACTTACATGACAGAAACACTACATGGCATTTAATGTTAGAAGTACCTCTAATAGTTTTCCTTGGAGAGGCACAGACCCTTGTTTGATATAATTACCAACTTCTGATCAGAGAAAGAGCATTTTACACTAAAATAGAAATGGCTGGAATTTTACCATCTCATATTTGATCTTGGTTTTAATTAAAATCTATCATTTGACGTTTCTTTCCTTGCTTCTAAGGGCTGTTGACTTCTGCTTGAAACAGACACGCAGGGTAACGAACCTTCAGGAAAGTTTGATGAGGGATGATTTTATTCCAGCATTTGCAGAGTTCTTGAAATATATAAAGTACTAGGTATTATTAGCACTGCCATTTATAACATTTCATGTTTCTGCAGCTCACTGCAAAACACTAATGAATGCAGCCTGGGCAGCATGATCGAAATGCATTTCCCTGCAGAGGGACATGATTTTTTCCACATTAGCCACGAGAGGGCAGGGAACGACATAATTCCCAGCCTTCTCATTTCAGTGAGCTCAGGAAAGTTCCCCTTCAGAGCCCTTCAGCCCTCTGTCCCTCTGCATTCAGAAAGTGCAGCGTGTACCCTCCTTGCCATAAGACAGAGAATGGACATGCATTTCTTCTTTTGCAACACCACCAGTTCCCATTCTTCCTCTTTAAACTAATCCCTTGTATCATGAAGGACAGCCCCCTGCCTCCTCCACCTCCCTCACCCCAAAATCATAGAATCACAGAATTGTTTCAGTTGGAAGGGACCTTTAAAAGGGCATATAGTCCAACCCCCTGCAAAGAGCAGGGACATCTTTAGCTAGATCAGGTTGACAGAGCCCCCATTCAAGGTCCAACCTGACTTTGAATGTTTGCAGGGATAGGGTATTCACTACCTGTCTGGGCAACCTGTGCAAATGTTTCACCACTCTCGTATCTAGTCCAAATCTACCTTCTTTTAGTATAAAACCACTATCCCTTGTCCCATCACTTTGAGACCTGTTAAAAGGTTTGTCCCCATCTTTCATACAGGCCTTCTTTAGGTATTGAAAAGTCAAAATAAGGTCTCCCTGGAGCCTTCTCTTGGCTGAACAACCCCAGTTCTTTCAGTCGTGTCTTTACAGGAGAGGTGTTTCAGCCCTCTGATCGTATTTGTAACCTCCTTCAGACTCACTCCAGCAGGTCCACATCTGTCTGTGCTGAGGGCTCCAGAACTGAACACAGTACTCCAGGAAGCATCTCTCATTCTGTCTCAAGAAAGTTCCTGAGTGAAATGCATGGCAATCCTGAGCTTAAACAAAGCAGAATCAGTTAAAATGGTTGGCCCTACGGCCACCTGAGCTGTTGGCAAGACTGGTGGTTTTTCATACATGGCATCAACTTCCCCCCCAGCAGAGATATACAGGATCAGATCTCTGTTTCCCACACTGTTTCCTTTTTTTTTCCCTCACCACCACTGTGTTACTTCCACAGGCACACCAGCTGTCTGGGACACACTAAGAGGAGACTGCAGTGATGTCTTACTTCCCATGCAAAGGTACTACCAATGCTGAGAGCACAGAGAGAGAACAGGATATACATTGCTGGGACCAGCCAGCAAAGAAGATTAAGGAATCTCCTCCACAAGAAATTTTAAAGAGCAGGCCAGGTTGATATCCATTAGAGGTGACTGAAGTTCTTTCAATCCTGTTTTAATGGAGGAATGGAGACTATGCCTATTTTTGCTGTGATCGTGGGAGTCTGGGCAGCAGTGATTGTACCATTGATGAAGATTTACTAAGGCAATTCCTGTGAACTTTTACAGTGCAATTCTCCATGGCTTCAATTCTAAAATGCCAGTAATAACTACTAAAGGGCAGAGGACTGAAATTGCTTAAGCTAATCTCACAAACGGCCAAACCCTGAGATGCGCACAAAAAAAGCTCCCTCTGTTGTGGGAGACAGAAAAAAGGAAAAGCAGGCTTATTGCAGTGCCTGGTTCCCTCTTTTTTTCCTAGGGAAAGATTTTCTGTGCTCACATTAACTCATGGATTTTTTTCACTTGATTCTCGTGGACATTTTATGTGATTCCGTTGGCAGAGGTTTGTAATTTAGCATTAATTAATGTCAATTAATGTATTCAGTTGCTAAGCTCTGGAATTAATTTCATTAGTTTTCCTGCACAGATGTTTTCCCTGCCATAGGTAATTAGGACATTATGCTTTTCATTTCCAGAACCCTCACCTCCAACAACAGCTGCTGTTTTTAATATACAACAAGAAAGTCACACTGTGCCTGGAGAGAAGAACATAGCAACTCCAGCTCTTACACCCCCAGACACTTTGATTTTGACAGGTTTAGACACCAAGAGTAGGATTCTTCCTGGGGAATGGCAGCTATTTCTAAAAAGGAAGCAAGAAAAGTCACAGAACATAAGAACGGAGGAGACTTCTTGTAAGCGAAACCTCTGACAAAATTAATCCGTTTCAGTGGTCAAAGAGAATTGCAAATGCTAACACATAGTAGAATTTAAAAGCTGGAGAGACCCTGTGCCATGAAATATTTCAGCCTTTTCTGTTTAGCTCGAGCTCCATGCTAATATGTTCTCAAGGGAAATGGATCCAACCTGTCCCAGAGACATTTCTTCTTTAGGTGCTGTAGAGGGAAGGTTATTGGTGGTTACTGGAGGTTGGTGAGCCTCTGCAAAAGTACACAGGAGAGTTTTAGACTGCTTCCTAAAGCAGAGTGGGAATTTCTTCAGGATATTTTGTTGCTGAGTACTATTTTGGATTACATATGAAACCCTAATACCCACTGCTTTCTAAGCAGTCTAAGCTTGCATGTGTATCTTTCAAAAACCTTCTTTGATTACAGGGAGAGTCAGAGAAAATATTCACCGTACTCTGTAAAAGTATCATTTTTTTCTCCTCGTCTTTAATTCATTGAGGAATGTATCCTTCTCTCTACAAATAAACCCACCAATGACAAATCAGGAGTTTTATGCAAAGAGTAACCACATAATCTATGATTTGTTTCCCTTCCAGATTTTCTATGGAGTATCCTAGTTTGTTTCTGAGCAACTTAGACATTAGGGATATTTCTGCTTTTGAAGGATAACTAGAATCCTCTAACTAATAAACATGGTAGTAACATATGCCACTGAAAGATCCATGCCTGTAACCCCTCTCCACCAGTGACTAATAACAGAAGCCTAGGTTGCCTTAGTAGTCCAGGTGCCTTAGTAGTCCCAGCACATCTTCAGCATTCACAACCTCCCATGGCAATGAATTCCAAAAATTTAATTAAATGTTCTCCCATACTTTAATCTTTCTACTCCTTTTTTTTTTTCAGAAACACAAAAAATGACTGTTCTTCATCCATTTCCATCTGGTCTGAATGTTGATTTGTGAAACATTCATGGTATGGGAATATGCTCACAACTCTCCAGGACTCAGCAACTGCAAAGCAATTAACCAGTAATGAAGATCAATGAAACGAAACCATCCCATTTACTAACTACTCACAAATCTGGTTTTATCCTGCTGCTACTCTTTCTTCACTGCATGTCAGTGTCAGAAATCTTTCTTTACACAGGGAAGCAAATCCTCTGCCATTTTTGGCATTAAGTTATAATTAGAGAAACTAACAGATGTCATTCTCCAGGACAAACACTAATCATGATCAGGAAAAAACATTAATCACAATAAGGGAAAAAAAATCACTGCACAGGTTTAGGATACTGTGGAAATTCACCACTCTAGCTATGTTATTAAAACACTGTCAGGCTAGGTTGCCTACTCACTTTTTCCACTACACCGATTATTTTATTCTTCCTAGCAATTTTCTGTGGAAACAGAAATTAAAGTCCTAGTGCAACTTTGTGATTTAGACATTATTGGTCGGATGCTCAGTCCCTGTTGAACAGCAAGCAGAACACATATGCTGACCCCAGGTGAGACTTTGGTCTTGCCTGCATCACCTAAATTACCTTTCATTAGGAAAAGTTGCTGTGTAAATCAGGTCACCAGAAGAAAAGCAAAGGAAAAAGAACTACTTTTTAAATATCAGGAGCTCTCTAAATTTTTGCCAGCACATTAGAAACCCCCTCAGCTTCTTTCATCCACATTTTAAAAAAACCTCCCACATAAATTAATAACTTTATGCCAAATCTATTGGTGTCATTTAAATAAGCAAATGCATGTCTCATAAATGTAACAGTTGATTTTCATGTTTTACATCTACAGGAACTGTCACTTAGACATCCTCTGAGTCAGTTTTGCCATTCTGTAGAGGGCCAGCGGGTACCCAGTTAGTCTCCAAATGCTTTGTAGGAATCTATCTTTCTAATTCTCACCAACCAGATTCCTCAGTAGGCAACCACCTGAATAAAAATTACCTCCCATGTTAATTAGTTTGAAGCAGGCTTACTGGGATAACCCTCCCTAGCTCAAATCAGATAAGCCCTTCTGAAAGCACTTCAAGTTGCATTTGAGCAAACCCAGATTTAACTTCCACCATTGCTCTGCCTGCTGACTGTGATGGTGAATGTAACAAGCAGAAGCTTATCATAGGGTTAAGAACTGCAGGGGATTAATTATCTTCCTGGGGTGTTGACCTGAGGCCAGACAAAAAAAATTCACAATTCCTGCTGACTTTGCTGACTCGCCTTTGATCCCGTTCCAAACTCAAAGTGAACACCAGGGATACCCAAGTGTACAAATGGAAATGTGAGATAACGTTCATATGAACTTCTTCCAACCAGAAAAAACAGTTTTACCATATACTCTCAGTCCCAGATTAACTTGGATTGGGCCTGAAGCCTTTAAAAAATAAACAAAACCATCACATTTCACTAGATGAAAATTTGCATGGTGCTCTCCAAAATTTACACAAAGAGGATTAAAAACATAAATGGCAATGATTAGCCCTTCAAATCTGTCTCCATCAATACAACTACATTGAAAAGACTGTACTCGTTTTGTTCATCTTTACCTGCATCCTAGTTTGGTAAGACACAGTGTGGTCAGGAGTCCAGATTTTTCTGGATCCTGAGGGAAAAAAAATGTAAGGAGAACAGGCACTCAGGAACAACATTGCTAGCCAGATCCTCAGCAGGTGTAAATCAACATGCCACTGAAGTTATACTGATTTATGCCTGCTAAGAGATTCTTGTTTTGTTCCTTGCAAACCTTTTACATTATGTAAATAAACACGATAAATAAAATGCACAGACATGATAATCAGAGAGCAGAGACAGAGAGTTACTCTAGCAAAGAAAGCCCAATGCTAAGGTTGTTGGTGATGTTCTCAAATGACTCTGTCAGGGAGAAAGGCTAACGCTGCATCCTGCTGACATTTCTACTTCTCACCTAAAGCTGCAGTTGTACTATTCAGCTTCTGCTGGTAAATATAACAGCTCAAGAACGAGAAGTTTTTTTCTTATTTATACTGAGTTCAGCAGCTTCGTGCTTAGCCCTTCTATTTCCACTTCATAATCTTTTATTTTATTGTACAGAGTTTTATTGTGCTGTTTCCACACTACTCCCTTTTCTTTCCTTCTTTCTCCCTGTCTTGTTTTGGCAAATCTACCTTCTCAAATTTAATCCCTTTATTGAAATTTTACACTTAGTTAACCTCAAAAGAGATATTCCAAACAAAGCAGAAATAAGTAAATGCAAAAAATATTTTTAAAAACACCAAAAAACCCCAAACATAAAAACCTCAAGAAAATTCTTTGTAAGCTACCCTCAGTTTGGAATAAAGGTATCTTTCTCACTTCAGCACAGTTCTTTCCATCATCCCACTGGTAGCGACACTCCTGCTCCATTCCAGAGGTCAAGATTTCTATATCCATTGGAGGTTTATGATTACTTTGTGCAGAAAAAGGAGACTGATTTAGTACTTAAAAGAAAGCTCTAGTAGCCCAGAGACCTATATATACCAAGTTGGTCATGGTAACCAGAATAATGGACCATGTGCAATCTGTCTTGGTCTTAAAATCCTGTGACCTGCAGTGCTTTCAAACATCTGGCAAAAAATGCTGTGATATGTTCAGCTACACACCATAGTCCTCAGCTGGAAACCAACATTCCCTGGAACAAAGGGCCAAACAGAGGTGAAAATCCAACACATTTTCTTATACTGCCAAGGAGGTGACCTGGGGACCTTTTGACTCCTTAGCAGAAGTTTCATCCAAAGGACTGGTTTGCAAGAAGGATCACCACTGGCTGAAGGTTTGACACCACTGATGCATTTACATTAGTAGTTCTGTCACTGGCTAAACAGAAAAACTTAAGTTGTGCTGCCTCACAACTAACTCAGTATAAGTGTGAAGAATCTGTTATTAGAGCTCAGTTCTTGAGCAATAATTTGTCATTCCACAATTCTTTTCACTAACATGCCTGGCTTCTCAGTGAAGCCAGTTTTGTCTACTTGTTTTTTGGTTTTCACCTTAAGAGCCGTAATACTAATTTGTAAGGAGCCGTAATTACTAATTTGCTAGGAACTGAAGAAGCGTTTTTTCAGAAATGTGCATTAGCCACGCCGTATGTTCTTATTTTAGCCTAAGAACTCAAAAAGATCATCCAAAGCATTTGGTGCGTGGCACTGTCTCTGCCCACTGTGAGCTGAACATCCCTCCAAAGCATCACCAAAATATAGCTCCTTCAACATCCCTTGTAGTGCTTCATCTCAATGACTGCAAATTCCTCATGACTTATAAGAGCAGTGTTTGGTGCTGAAACAGACACTGTCCTGTTAGAATACCTCACTCTCATTTAGCACGTCCCAAGAAATAGAGAGCCTCATGTCCCTAGCCTTGATGCCATATGAGGTAAGTGAAATTGAGAGGAGAAATAATAATCATAGATCATAAATTATGAGAAACAGAGATAACACATTCTTTCACTTTTGCTATCTTGCATATCTTGACAGGGAAACATTTAAAACTTTATAGTTTCTATCACAACTGTTTCTTTTCAAAATTAATCTTCCAAAAAATTCTCTTTCAAGATAAATTTCCTCAAGTTAAATACCAGCTTACTCCACAACGAACTTTTCAGATAGTTTTCAAGTTTACAGTGACAAAATATACATTTTAAATAACATCACTGCAATTGAGGGTAAAATTCAAGGGAGAAATTTATACATTTAAAAAGTAATTAACTGAATGCATCATTAATACTTTTGTATTGAAAATGGTAAAAATCTTCTTGTTATGTTGCAGCAAAGCTGTTGTTTACCGAGGAAACAATATGGAATTACAGTGAGGATCAATGGCAGCCAGGCTTTTGGTGTGATGCCTGCCTGAGGCAATCCAATGTTGTGGGAAAGAAATCTGAGGAGAAAGATCTGCAAAGCAGTGGAGCTCAAAGACAGACCTTGAGGAAGCATGGTTGGGAGGAGAAAAGGCCAGTGGATGGCTTTGGCTGCCTGAGAGAATTTATGGTCCATTAGGAGAATATTTTTGAGTTGCAGGTAAAGGAGGATCCTGGAATGGAAAAAAAGCACCTCAAGAGGCAAAGCAGAGAGGAAAAGGAGCTGATGAAAGGGAAGGACAATGACAGGACAAGCAGGAACAGTGAAAAGTAGAGTTAGGCTGGTCATTTAAAGGTTGCTAATGAGAGAGAAACAAGGTATTTTCAAACACAGTACCTAAGGCAGAGTATCCCAGGTCTGCTAAAACTATAAAGCTGTGAAAAGGTGAAGTTATGTACTGTGTGAAAAAAGCAGCAGCTAGACTTTATGACTCAGGAACTCCTCTTCAATGTCATGTTCCCATCAACAAAAATCACACCAGAGGAAATGAAAGTGCTCTGTATAGTAACTCCAATTACTGCTTATCACCTATTCTTTCTTACCATTTCCTCGGTTCCTTTCACAGCCTGGTAAACCCAACTTTTTGCTTTTCTGGAAAGGCCCGTCTTCTGACAGACCTGACTTGGAACAGCCAAACCTCTCATATTAAGTGAGTGAACAACAAAAAGAAGTCAGATTTCTACTGTCATATTGTGTGGTTACAAGAATATGAGGACAGCCCAGTACACCACAATATTTGAAAGCTGATCTACTTACGACCATCCACTGTCTTTGCCTCCAGGTGCACGAGATCAGGCTCTCTACCATTCCCCATCATAGACCTGTAAAAGACAGATTGAGACAAAGGTATTAAAACCAAAATATACCGTGAATGTCTGAGATATTAATTTCACAGGAGATCCTGTTTAACTGGACATAAACTCATATTCACAAATAAGAAGTGATAATTTTGAAAGAATTTTGGAGTTTTTCCTAAAATAAACTTGAACATTTTAAAGAAATTCTACCATTTTATCTAATCAATGCCACTGTACTTATGAGTTCTTTGTTTCTGACCCCTTCACTTCTTTCCATATGGCCACTTACCTGTTCCTGTTCCCGTTGGCACTTGCCATTTTGATGTGTCTCCTGGTTTGGTCAGAGGGATGCATTTCAGTTCAGGGTGGGATACAGAAGACTTTAATAGATGAGATAATAGTATTGCCAGCTAATTATACTAATTATAGCTGTTCCTTTATATTGGACATTTTATGCGCATTTGCTTAATTGACACTCTTAATGATCAATGTTCCCTCATTAATTAAGAATTTTTAAAAACTCATTTTATCCTGAGACATTTTATCACTTCTGATCTAATAAAAACAGTGTTCCATTAATAAAAGAAATGTCACATTGACTCAGAAAATGACTGTTTGTTCACTCTGAATTAACAAGTAACAAATAGAGATAATGAGTATGACAAATAGGGGTTTATGGAACCAAGCTCTGCTTCCATTATTAAGGTTCCCTGGACTGGCCTCATCAACTCCCTGGAAGAGTCCAAATGGTCAGTGGTTTGATGGACAGTCTGCATTATGGAAATGCTGACTGCAAGAATGTACCAATCCCATTGCACAGCAGCCTCAGCAGCATCTCTGACAATCTGCCTTGTTTCTGATCTTAGTCCTATCACTCAAATCATAATCCTAGATTAAATCTAAGGGTTAAACAACCAGTTTCTTGTTAGCTGCCTGACCTCCAAGTTAATAGAACCATGAGGGAAGACATGCATTCATTTCCAGTCATAGACAAATTAGATGTTCTGTTCAAAGCCTAATTATTTTTTAGGAAATCAGAACTGAGATTCAAACGGTGATTTAGACCTTAATTCAGTTCCCACTGACTGCAATCAGAGGCACCTCCAGCACTTAATCATCATGTGCATTAACTAATAACTATTATAAAAATGTTAACAATAACAAGGCTATCTGTGTCCTGATTAATCCTTAGCTTTGCTTGACAAAATCTGTAGCAATTCACTAGCTAGAAAAGGTTTAGATTTTTTTGTTCTCCTTTGCTGGGAACTGAATTTTCAGAAACTACTCTGAGCCAGCATTGCCTTCACCTCTTCTCCATTTTTAATAAAGTTTATGGCAAGGTCTTGTTCTCCTAAACATTCAACTTTCATTTAAAATCTCTGCTTCCTGATAATTGACACCAAGTGGGTGGTAAAGAAGCACCTTCCTAGGGCACTTTTCTTATACCTGCTATCATCAGCAAGTTTAGGGCCAAAATGCTGGGTCTGCTAGTTACAATTCTGTTCAAGACAGATAGATGCCAGTGACAAACAGTGCTAAAGAAGGACTAAACTTGCAATATGGCATACCTCCTCTTCATTCTTGTTTATTTAAGTGGGCTCTAAATACTGGGATTATTAAAACAGCCCACCTGGAACTGGGCTGAAGAACAGAAAACACAGTCCAGCTTTGCCAGGGCATTCCTCCCCCTAACCTCACATACCCCCATGGGGATGTGAGCTCTGCAAAGAAACAAGGAATATATTCCATGAATTTGAGCTCTTTGTCTCTTCAGACACACCACAATAGTATTCATCCAGCAAAGAACTTGCTGCCCTAGTTAAAGCATGCAAGTCTACAGTTAGGTGTTTTGTGTTTCCTCCTTACAGTGTTATTCTGACCCCAAGAAAAACTTCTGTTGCATCTTCTCAAGCAAAGCCAGACAATTCAGAATGATGCATATCACTGATAGATGGGATGTGATTGTCACTGTTACTTCCACTGCTGATATGAGCCATAAGTTATATCAAAATCTTAGATGATTTAAGAGAACCATATAAAAATCAGGACTCATAAAACCCTACAGCTACAGCTGTAGTCACCTGCATATTACTTAGTCTCACACTACAACAGCCACTATTGGGACTGTAGAAGTTTCAGTTCAAGGCAGAATTAGGCCATCAGTTGTCCCAAGGATGTACAGAACAAGGATGGCAGAGACATGACTGGTGATAAACATTATTCATTGACTCAAGGGTTCCCTTTCTTTTGATATCTCCTAACACCTGCAACTTAGAGATTTGATGACAATGATGAAAACTTTTCTTCCATTTTAGGCAACAGTCCCAAAGCAGGTAAAGCTACAGACCTGAATTATGTTTATTACCTACCTTTAAAAGCACAAATTACAGATAAACTATGGATTGTAATTAAAGGGGTAATTGAATGTCCTGGGCAGCCTTTTCATTGCCATTCCCTTTTCTGAGCAACTTCTATTCACTACACTGGCAGTTCTTTCTTCTCATATTTCTCAAATCCATTCTTCCCTTTCAGCATCCATTTTCAAAGACCAAACACTCACATATCCCCAAACTTTTCTTCTTGCTGCAGTCTGTGTTTTCACTCTGTGGTAAAATGCCAGCATGCCCTTTGTCTGTCCCTTTAATCTCAGGCTTTCCGTAATACTCCCTGAAACTTCAGGGGATATCCTTGCAGTACTTTCTGTTGAATGGTGCCTATTGTATTTTTGTGATTAACTTTTGGTGTTTTGTTGCTACAATTGTCTGGACGTTTTGAAAAATGAAAAAGAAAAAAAATGAAGAAAAAAATCTTTTGGGAAAATGAGGATTTAGAAAAGCCAAGAGGAGTGCAAGGCAATGACCTCACTGCCTTTGCACTGGAGATGCTTACATTTTGAAAAATGTAGGACCCCCGCAGTCCTATTACAAAGTTGCTTCCTAAAATTTTAATCATCATCAAGCCTGCTAAGAAGTCATCTACACTTGAGAGCCTCACAAATCGATATCACTGGCTGCAGTGCAGTAATTGCTCTGAATGCAGATTCTATATCCACCGTGAGAAGCAGCAAAGGAAAAGGACCTCAAATCATCCTCTGGTTTAGAACTAGTCTGAGCTAAACAAAAGCAGCCTGGCACTGCCCATTGCACAGTAAATGCTAGTTGGCATATTTCTGTAGTGACCAACCCCTTGCCATCTTCTCTGTCTGAAACATTTCTAAAACCTTGGCTTCCTTGGCCTGTCGGCTCTTCTGAGCCAAGAAAATTCAATAGAGACCCTGTTATCCTGGGGTTTCCACCTCTTCTATCTTTTTTCACTTCTAGGGACAAAAGCAATTGTTTTTGGATGCTGGGAACTGATGAGGCTTGCAAGGCAGTCAGACCACTCAGAACTGCAGAAAGGCATCATTGTGAAGTAAGCAAAAGCTTCCATTTGGTGCACTTAATTTCAAACTACCATTTTTTCATAAACAAAGAACTCGAAACACCAGACAATAAGGGCTGCATCTCAAGGGTTTGTGCATTCTGGAAAGTAGTTTTGGGTGCTTTTGGTTTTGGATAATTGACTTCAGACACAGTCAAACCATATCTGGGACTATATGCACAAGAAACTTGATGGCAGTCTTTCCATATGTATTCCTTGTATCATACATGCTCAAAGCAGCCAAGATCAAAGGTCTCTTAAGTCAGGCAATAAAAGGCATTGTTATTTTACATAATCTTCAAGCAAATGGCCCAGAATAAAAGGAAGAACAGAAGAACAGAAATGCTACTATGTCCTTTTCATAGACAGAACCAGTGCAAATGTCCTTTATTCTTTATATGGGGACAGAGACATTATGCAGCTTTCCCATGTCTCAGAGGAAATGCACAAGTGCAGAATTAGGACTCCTATAACTATACCTCACCTTCTGTGGGGGATAAACAGGTATGACTTGTTCCTGCAGCAAAGGATGGCTGATAAATGACAGATAACAGCATGCCTCTACCAAGGTGGATGGAATGAGATCCATACAGTTCTGGCCATTTTGAACTTATCAAAACTGACTCAGAGTAGCTCAGAAGTGGCTGCAATGCAATACCAAAAAGAAAACTGTCACATTGCTTAGAAAATCCAGCTTGACTAGTCATCATTAAAAATGTTCATTTGCCTCTGTTGCATTCTGCAGATGACTTTGTTCTTAAAATGTTATTTATTTTGAGATTTCTCCTGACCTTCAGCATTCATTTTCCCAGTCCCAAATGGAATCCCCATCTCCACATATACTGCATTACACAGAAAGACTAACTAGCTGCAACAAGACAGGTGGAAGAGAATGTACTCTTAGAGATCTTTATGCCAAAGTTTTGTCCTATGAACATAAATATTCTAACAAGCTTTATCCTGTCACAATAGAGCTATAAAGTTGCTCTGTTCAGCACACGATAATGGCTTTGTAATTCAATTATTGGTAGAATTTGCCTCTGGGGATTTATCTTCCTTTAGCCTCAGCATTCATGCGAATCCCTTATCGTAAATCTTGCCAATGCAAAACCAGCTCCCCCACTGCCTCTGGGATATGTCCCACCACTTCATGTTAAAAAACTGACAGTTTATTACAACTCAGTGAATGGCAGGTTTTTGTTTTTAAGAACAGAATGAAAACAACAACAGTGGATGACAATCATGGAGTCCTCGGTAGCATCAAATTTTTGGTTCCACTGATGCTTCTGTAACACTTTAAATCCTAATTGCCATTCATAAAAATAGTAACATGTAGCACTGAACAGGGAGCTTTTTTGTCCAAAGATACAAAAGCACTTGACAATCAACCTTTAAGTAACCTTCCCTGCATGCTACTGATTTGTTCAAGACCTATGGAAAAGTACAAGACAAGCAGACCAAGTTAGAAATAGGGGCTGAGGAAAATTTTTGTTCTCAGCTTTACGGATAAACTCCACTGATTAGTCAAGAGCACAGGGACTCATTGATTTGACCAAGATCACACAGTTGCTGTGTGGCAGAGACAAAAATAGAGCCTGAGAGTC